TCCTGGGCTCTGCTAGCTGCATTCCAGTCGAATCAGCGTGGGTTGTTGCCGCCCGGGTTCGGGGAGATGGGAGTCTTGTGGGTTGGTGAGGAGAAAAAAAACAGGGGGATGGAGGGAGGGAGGCAAATCCGAGGGTGAGTTGGCGAGGGTCGGAAATCGGCAGGTGGCATTATTCGTTGGAGGGGTTTGGAGACTTTGAGAGGCAACCGCCCACGACGTCATAACTTGCCCGATTGTCCGATAAGAGATCCTATCGGGTAAGAGAAATCAATCCCGGCCTCTTTCCTGGCACTGGCACTGACTACACAGCGCAAAGGCAAAGAAGGCTGAAGGGGAGATGAATGGGGGAAGAGGGGGGAGGGGGGGGCCAGTTGGTCTGTGTGGGATGGCCGACCGATTGTCATTGACTATTGATTTGATTTGGGGAGATGGTCTTGGTGCAATTTGCCAATAATTAATGCGAGTTTGGTAGCTCTCGCCTTCTCTTCTCGGGAAATTTTCCCTCTCACTCACCCTCTGCCTCTGTTTAATTATGTTGTGTTGTGTGTGTGTGTGTGTCCGTTCACCAACCCATCTCCGAGGAAATGGAATAGTCGCGCAAATCTCCGTTCAAGACAGGGCTAGGTGTATTGCACCATGCCTGATCAGGAAATTATGTATCTACTGGTTAATACGATACAGTCGATCCCACAAGATGCCCTGCATCAGTGCATATCAGTCCTGTATGGCATTGTCATCGAGTTCGGCCCTATGAACCTTCGACAATATCAAATGGAGCGATACAAGTTGGACACAATTGCCATCGTCCAATGGCCCTCAGGGCCTTGGTAGAGCTGGGCTGCCACCAGTGCCTAAGTTGCCCTCTTACGAATACGATCGCGACCGTGGAGCGAGACGGAGAGCGGCGGCCAGCCCACAGTAGATTCACTCTTGGCTTTCTGGTACCTACAGTAGTGACTGAGGCTAGGGTACTAGCGAGTAGCGACCTATCCCCAATTCCCCATAGAACTGGGACTAAATCATACCGACCAGGAACGGGACAGGTTGTGCTCCCATCTTCACCGGCGTTAATTGGGGAACAGCTTATTAGCGCCCCCAAATTGAATGGTGATTGAGGACTAGTGGTTAGTGCCCTTTGCCCACTGCGGCACTACGGCACTACTTCGCTTTTCGCTCAAATCTCTCCCCACCGGGCGATCGCCCGCGCCAAGCTGTCTCATCGAGGAGGATCTGGGTGAGGGATTTTTTGTCGAGTCAAGTTGTCTGTCGTCGTCGTGTCGTTGTCGCTGTTGTCGTTGTTGTCTGGCAGCGTCGCGCTTTCACCCGAGGTTTCTCACAACGAGGACAACCCAGAAGTTCCCGTTTAATGGTTTGGCGTGTCGCATAACACGAGCACATCTGCTCCTAATTTTTCCGCCGCGCCGCATCACAGCGTGCAGATTTTCCAAGCCTTCCTATTTGTCCAAACTCTGCACAAGGGTATTTGTGCAGCTTGCCATGAGGCAAATATGTCATCCCGGTCATTCTTCCCCATGCTTTGCCCCCATGGATCTCGAGCGAGAGGGTGAGACACACGAGAGGCAGGCTTCACGTTCTAAAGACTACTAACATACAGTAGGACTCAGTAACTAACACCTGGACTCCATAAACTGCCCCCACGGACGGGAGCTTCTCCTGTTCATCGGGAGCTCCATCCCACACCCAATAATCAACGGGCCAGCCGTCCCCAGTTTGAGCAGCAGCCAGCCAATGCCAATCTTGGAGAAACCGAGCAAACGAGCGACGACGCTGGAGGGATTTTAACCGCAGCAGCTAACTACTCGATTCCCTAGAATAGATAGCTGCCAGACCACTAGCCTAGTCTGACAAGCTACCTACTTACGCGACATCTCCCCCAGCTTCCTCCATCTAATCCAACCTGACGGAAAATCTACGGACGGAATCTCGGAACTGCTGCAGCGTCTGGCGGGTTAATCATCCTGCTTCGAGAGAGGATGATGACTATTTCTGGCAGTTCAATCTATTGTGATTCTCCTTCATCTCTCCGAAGTGAATGAGCAGTCGGAGAACATTGCCGCCATGCGTGCGTGATTTTTTGTTGTCTTGTTCCTTATCCCGCCTCATTCTGCACGTCTCCATTCTCCATTCTCCAGTCTCCAGTCTCCAGTCTCCAGTCTCCGCGACAAGGTGGACTGGTGTTAGTCAAGAAACAGGGGACCTGCCACGGTGGCAGCCCACCGGGACGATAGTTAGGACGCCAATAGTCGGCTGCAGCATGCAGATGGACGAGACGCACCAACCAACACACTTGTCTGATAAGGGTAGATGCTCTCTACCGACGGCAAGAATAATTTTCCGTGGGTGCGTATGCCTTCGTCCTAAGTCGCTCGGGGCGGGGAATCAAAGAGATTGGATCGGGCTTAGTCCGAGGCCGAATTCGGGGAATTATGGGCCGTGCCTGGCAGTTCTGACTACGGCTCCTCTGGTCTGTGGAGATTTCGCCTGAGATTGCAATCTTGGGGAGGGTAGCAGAGTAGGTGCTGTGCGCCTCGCATCGGAAAAAAAAGGCGCAAGACAGCGAATGAAGCCTGAATCACAACCACAGTTCTCGAGCGGATCTAGTCTGGCTATTTTGCTCTATCACAAAGGAGCAACTTTTTTTTTTACCGGCTGAGATCTCGAATTGGCCTTCTCTCCTCAATGCGATCGTTGTGTTGTTCTAGTCCCTTGTGTCTGGTTCTCTGCGGTCGAAGCCGGTCGGGAAATGGATAAATCGGCAGAAGGGTACGGAGTATGTACAGTACATACGTAGACGGCTTGGCTTATCGCGTGTGGTTGTTCCCAAAGCGGGAGCCGACTGGGGGTTCAAGGTTGACAATGCATTGGAATGATTAGTAGTATCGTTATTATTATTGATTGATTGCGTCGGTGGGAGGGAAATTCGCTCATCATTCGATAGTCTGTGTGGCAGCTCGGCGTTTTTTTTCCCTCGGCACAATTCAGGGTCGCAGACTCGCAGGCTCGCAGCAACATCGGACAACCCGACCCTCACGGGATTCGGCACCGTCTCCCGTTCACAGTCCGTCCGTCAGTCAGTCAGTCAGTCAGTCAGTCAGGTAAGGTAAGGAAAACTGGATACTTTCAGATCCCGTTCAATGAGATTTGCTCTTTCGCCCCCTCCACCTCTCTTTCCTCCTGCATGATGATAATCCATGGTTAACCACACACACGACGTGCTTTTCGCCGTCCACGAGCCATGGTTCGCCGACACTAAACTCTGCTTCGAAGGTTCGGTTGTGTTTGTGTTTGGTTTCGAAGAATTTTCCCGAACTAGCACGGCGGTTGCAGCGTCGGGCTTCATGTCATCCATGCCTACTAGTAGTTGTAAGGCTGAAGGAGGGTGCGCGATTTTACTGACTCCGCATATCACTCGGGATCAAGGGTAGGGAAGAAGTCTCGGTCTTCAGATTTAGGTCTATACGGAAACACACCGTTAGCAGCATGGCGACTTCCGTATAGTCAAGAATTCTTGGAATCGATCATCTCTATCAGCGCCTATACAAAGTAACGACCAGCACATGTACTACTCCGTATACTCCTGGTCAACCCGGAAGACACCGATGCCAAGGGATCTTCTGCATGGATGGGAACTGTTTCCCTCTCCTCCCCGCAAAATCCTAATCTGCACGGAGGCAAAGTCTCACCCAGACACGACCCGGTCGAATACCACCGAGGAGAAACAGGGACAAGAATCAGGTGCAGGCTGCAGCAAGATTTTCTGATCGAATCGGGGTTTCCTGCAAACTGCAAGTAAGCAAAGCAAAGTCAAGTCAGTCAACCGCATCAGACAGGTCTCCCCCCGTTTCACTCGGTTTCAGCGTCCGTATCCCTGCGGTATCATATCCGGCTATATTCTACCCCCGTGCATATCGCTGCATCGGGCGGTGATGGTGGCTCCGTCTGCCCTTCTCCTTCCCCCTTAGATGTTGCATGATCCAAGAGGTAGGTTCGTCGTCTCGAGCGAAGTATACGGGAACGCTTATTCTCCATCACACGGGAAAAAAAGGGGGGAGCCTCGTCCATTCCTGGGGCAGTCGCGGGTCGATCGCTATGAGCGTATGATGTCAATCGGTCTGGGCAGATGAGGCTGCTAGTGGCTGTTCTCGTCTTCTTAGTCTGCTTTCGTCGATGATCCGCTCTAGGTGGTTTGTTTACCTCGCTTAGTGAGACATTGGGCTGGAGTAAGTATATCGACTGACTGATGGAGGTTGTACTACTACGGAGCACTCGGGTCACCACCATCATACGGTTGGTACCGTACCTGGGCTACGGTACTTAGTGAATGCCTAATCATACTATCCATGTAGATAGTATAGTATGATATCAACAAATGAGATGGATCGCCCGCACATCAGGGGTACTGCGTCATTCGCCAAGGCCGATTAAGGCAGCATGGCATTGCATGAGTTGCAGCTGTCTATCTGATCCTGGCTTGAGGATACTCACCTCTGTGAATCTTGCCTTTTCCTCGCTTTCTTTCCCCCTCTGCTTCCCTCATCCGGATCAAATCGATTCCACCTCGAGGTCGTACAAGCGCCCCCTCATCCCTCCCTCCCTTCGACTCCGGAATCACACGACTATCACCTCCGGCCAGTCGATTCTATTCTTTCCCCAAGCCAATAGTTACGTCGGTCAGTGGCTGCCAAGCATGGCGATGTGCAGAGGGGAACCAGCAAGGCTTCTCTTGGCGGGGATTCTCATCCCTTCCTACGGCGCTGTCCTGAATTTTGAAATCAACACAGGTTTGAATGGAATTGTGTTCGGATAGGTCGAAAACCCCGATCCAATTGCATGGACCCTGACACTAAATTTAGGGACCGACTGAATCTTGGGATGAATTGATCAAGTGTCAATCGAAAGGGGAATCCTCTCGTCGCTCAACTTACCAATTCTGCGGTTCCGAAGTCAATCCCACTTTGACAGAGACGATGCTGCCGACGACGACGACGATGAAGATGAAGATGAGGAGGACTTACAGCTTGTTACGGCTTGGCATATAACACTTGTCCGTTTTTCCCAGTCTCTGACTGTGCATGTCATGCTGATAAGAAACAAGGGGTGAGCAGGGCGAAGACTCTAGCTAGAATTTGTCATTCGCAATGGTCGTTATCGTCAGGACGTTCTATACACTTTCTTGGCACCACTAACTGGACTATCACCAGACAGAGTTACCAGCACACACACACTGATACTACTGTTGCAGTATCGATAACACCACCCAAAGACCGACTCCATGGAGAAGAGGAGCATCATACCCACTCCTCCCCCCGTCCTCCTCTGTTTCCCCCGTCCAACCCCCTTTTTCCTCCGCACGATCACCGCCAAGACCTGCCGTGCATTCCTCCCTCGATTATTGTCTTGGCGCAGCGAAGGGGGTATGAGAGATGCTGGCTGCTGGCTGCTGGCTGCTGCGCCATCCTCCTGGCTGTCAATCTGGCAGATTTGGGGCCTTGTGTAACCCATTTTCCATAATCCTAACCAAGTAACTGCACTGAAGCCATGAGATCCTCCCGAGATTCCCACGGCGGGCGGTCGATCATTCTATGGTTTGTTTCATGCAGGAGGTTAAAGTTATATGATTAGACTTTGCCGACTTTGAGTACCGTATAACAGTCCCACAAAGGAACAACGAGTTAAAGAGATTGTTGGGTCCAGATTCATCCACTTAGAACACCTCTCATGATCTGAAGTAACCATTGACCATTGACGATGGCCATTGTAGACCACATCTCCCAGAGGAAAACACAATTCAACAACAACAATCAGCCCCTTGTCCCCGTCGATATCCCCGACCTATTAGACCACAACACACACACACACACACACACACACTCATCATGCATGAGCAAATCCAAGCATAAGCATGATACACCGACATTCAACCCCCCCGCCCCCCCGCGCCAACGAATCACCCACAAAGCCATCAGCCATCCCCTGATGCATCCATCACCCGCCATCATCAACACAGAAACATACGTATGCTTACCTAGCGTATAGTATAGTATAGCATAGTATACTCAACCAAGCCACCACCACCGACCCCGCCCAAGACAAGCACCCTCCAAATAGAGTATATCCCAAGAAAACCCAAAACAACCCTAGCACACTCACACGGAAGCTTATGCATCCGGCATGTAGGCGATTTTTTCTTTCATCAGAAGAAAAAGGACATCCTTAGTTTGTGAAGTGGGATGGAAGTGGAGAGCGAGGGGGGGGGGGGGGTGCTGCTCTTTCGAACTCAATGCTGAAATGTAGGACTGTACCCGAAACGGTTGGTGGGGTTGTTTTTTTGTGTAGGTGCTGAATTGTACAAGGTACGGTACGGTAGTCTTAGATGTATATACTGCGGGGGAGGACTTTGAGCAACATTATGGAAGGAATTCCTGATCGAGGGGTTGCTCTTGTTATGTATGGGTTTTGGTAAGAAGGGAAAGGAAGGGGGGGATTGATTACTTGGTTTAGGTGTGTGATTGTTCTGAAGTGAGATTATGGCTATCATGGTTCGGAGTTTATATGCCCTGCCTTTCTTTTTTTGTTTTGGTGGTCAAGCGACTTCTGAAGCTATGAGCGGCGATGCATTAGCAAGAGGCGTGAATATCAATCCACCATGTACACACAGCTCTGACTATCCTCATCGTGGCTTGCTGCGGAGGCAATCGACATCAAAAATGCCAGACGACGGACGCTATGGCTTGGTATGTAGGCTCGAGGCGCAGTTCCCGAGTTACCTATAGCCAAAGAAAGAGAAATCCAGGTCGTGTTGACGTCTGGGCCTAGAATCCGGGCTGTGTCAAATGCTTGCCTTGTTGTTGTGGGGCGTGGATGATGTTATCTGGAATGTTGAATGCGAGTGTCTGATTATAGATTGGAATGGAGGGTGTGGTTGCGGAGCTCGGCTGGTTGTCAGTGGGGATCTGTGTGGTATATTGGGCTGTTTGGGTAGTGAGGTCTACTTTGACTTGGATGGTACTGGGGACTGATGGTATCCGTAGGTGTGTTGGTGGTCTGTGGTATAGTTAGGGTGAGTAGGTGTGTAGGCGCGGTGGAGAATTATGCGGGTTGAAGTATGTAGTTTTGTTTAGTATATCTAGCTGAGCATGGCTAGGGGTGTAAAACAAGCGGCATGGGTCATTTTATATGAGTTTTGTGTGGGATGTTTGGCAGATGCATGTGCTTCGATGGATTTTGTATATATACACGGCCGTTGACGGCAACACGCGTTCTAATTCCAATGGCTGGCCGTACCTGGATAATCATTGAGAAGAACAAGATGGGCGAGTCTGTCTGTCTAGCTCATTCCGAATCTTTCAGCTCTTCAGCGAGGATAGACCAATTCCTTTGCTTCGTGTTTCGCATCTGCACTGGCTAGGTACTGGTATACAGCAGCGCCGGCTTGACCTAGTGAAATGGTATACATCGACAGCTTGACCTGAGTCTGCGTCTTGGTGTGGATTCACATATCACAGCTATGGCAACATCCTCAACCTAAGGATAAAAGCACGAACAGGGCATGCATGAGACTGAGGTCTTGTAGGTATATATCAGAACGTGATTCTCATCCCTACAGAACACGGAACCAGCGTGCCAGGCATATGTCTCTCAATCGCAAATTTGGCCCTCCATCCCGAGCAATGTCCAGGCAGCACAACGGCTGGATCGAGTCTCTTCAGATCCTTGACGGTACTCTCTGTCTGTGTTGCCTCGCTAGTCGCGAGATGGAAACCACCGATAACCGCATGGAGAGGCACGGAGCCGCCGAGGGTTTCCACCGCATGTCGTGCACAGTTGACGACCCCCGCGTGGCTGCACGCGGTGAACATGACGATTCCTCTCCCTGGTTCAGTGAGCATACGAGTTCCCAAGCATGAAAAAAGGACACTCACCCTGTAGGTCACACATCAAGAACCGTTCGTCAGCGATAACCTCATCGGAGAACCAGTCGTTCTCCTCAGCACTGAACCGCATACCGCCTCTCAAGCCCGTCTCGTAGGAGGTCCGCCGGGGTATCTCCCCTGAGATGAAGAAGTAATCATCGAGAACTGTATGTCCTTCAGCCCGCTTGTCGATGGTCCCGCCCGCTGCTTGCAGTTCCTCAAACGTCGGATCAGCCTGAAGGGAGATGATGTCGTCCCCCATGGCCATGCCTCGGTAATCTGGACGATCTGGATGCAGGTCGACTATCAGTTCGCCTGCAGTACCATGTGCTTGTCGAGCCTCTGTGATCATCTGGATAGCTCGAGTCAGGCCCCCTGATACCGTTAGCAACTCTGCGCTAGACCATCGGAGAGATTTTGAACACCTGAGTGATCCCGATGCCAGTGCGATAACTGGACCAACTCCACGGAAGACAAGTCTTGTCGTAGTCTCTTGACGTTGCGCTCCCACACGTTACCTTCGGGTCCCGCGTCAAACAGCAGGGTATGGCTTTTGCCGTTCTTAGTAGCTTTCTGTTGCGCGGTCAGTCATCGTCCATTCTCTGTGAGTTTAGGCTACTATGAAAGAGAAGTCAGGCATACCACAAGAATGGACAGACCATGCGCAGCACAACAAATATCTTCCATCTGGAGCTCCTTGTGTGCATCCCCGCGATCCGAGATCTCGTGCGGGGATTGCGTGGCTAGCGTACGCATAAGGCCTGAGACCTGGACTGTATCGGGTGCAATGGTCGACATCGGGTCGAGGTCATTGTCGACCAGGAGGACAGCCTCGAGGGAGTCGACTTCTACGAGGTTTGGGTGCACCATCTTGACGTGCTGTTTCAAGATCGTCGCTTCGTCCGGATCGAGCCTGCACTTGTGTTCAAATGAAGGGATTGGTAGAGATCTGAAGTGTCTTGAATCAATGCAATTGCGCTGACGAGAGATTGTGAGGCTTCTGGCTGGCAGTCACATTACCACCACCTGACGTTCTGGGTGCCTTAGGCTGAAATTGATTGTTTTGACTTCATCAAATCCCCTTTTCTTAACTTTACCACACCACGCACAATTTCTGCTTCCAGCTTGGATAGGCCTTACCTCCATAGCACGATTATTTTTGCATTTTGACTTGAGGTAGGCTCACAAACCAATGTCAGACATATACCTGCTCGATATATACGGTATTGGGTGTCCTCCTGTGGTACAACGCCTGTCATGTGCGCACTCAAAAACAGTGGCCACTTTCCACTGCCATTGTTGGTCTTATTGAGTGTGACTGCGACTGCATTCGCAGTCTATCATGAGAACCTGGTATAATAGACATTGACCATGGGTTAATGCATTTCTGGTGAGCGTGAGCTGTCGACCGAGAGCTACTCACAAGTGAGGGTCTTCGAGACTCAGAAGCATAGCAATGAGACGACCGCCACAAATCCCCCGTTCTTGTCATGAACTGAAAGGGGCAATTCTCCACGATGTATCAACTTGATTGCGACTGCTCCTGGGCAATTGACCATTGCCAGATGAGGCGAAAACCCCGCAATGTATAGGCCGTGTTTCCCCTCACTCTTAAGGATTCTCCCGCAAAGGCCGATGTCCGATATTGACTTGGTGCACGCATGAGCTCATTTTCACTTGACTTAATCTTGTTGTTCTGCACGCTACTCGGCCAACTACCTCATCCACCAACCGCAATGCTCGACTCGCCTGCCGCCATCGCCAGGTCATCCTCACAGGCGGAATCCAATTCTCCGTCCCCAGACTGATTTCTCCGGTTTCCCCAGCCGTGCTCTGGGGTAGAGCCGGCGCCGAAGCTTGACAGCGCCCGTTCTTCTATAACCCCGGATTTGCGCCTCCGCATATAAGATGCGGTGAAGAGGACTGCCGGGGTCAGCGAATCCAGGGATAGCACCCACAGTCACGATGCTTCTCTATCGTGGTCTTCTGCTTCTTTTGCACGTTCTGCTTGTGCACTCGGCTGCTCTCCAGCCGCGTCTCTCGACAGCTACTCGGGAGACATGCCAGACGAGTCTGAAATGCCCTGAGGGCACGATCATCGTGTCCAACTCGTCGCACCCCGCCGCTCAATTCAAGTCTATCCAGGCTGCGTTTGCCTCCCTCCCCAACGACAACTCCTCCCACACAATTCTGGTGCTTGCAGGAACCTACCATGAGCAACTCAACCTGACGCGCCCGGGCCCTGTCACTTTGCTCGGCCAGCAACCCGATCGCAGCGCTCTCACCGATCCCACTCGCAACCGCGTCACCATCACCTGGGCTGCTGCCAACCAGGACAATACCGGCCAGTCGGTGGACAACGTTTACTCCAGCGTGTTGATCGTCTCGCCTACCTTGGACGCCAGTCTGACTGGGTCGGGTACCACAGGGTTTGCTGTTCCCGCGGACACACCGTTTGGCAACACCGACTTCCGAGTGTACAACATCGACTTCCGCAACCTGTGGGCAGAGTACAGCGATGGGCCCGCCCATGCGATCAGTTTCAGCCGTGCCAACGGAGGGTTCTACTACTCTGGATTCTACTCCTACCAGGACACCGTACGTTCATACCCTCATCTTCACATTTAGATCACCCACTAACGCGGCCTGTCAGGTCTACATTGGCAAACTCGGCAATGCCTACTTCCACAAGTCCATCATTGCCGGCCAAACCGATTTCCTGTATGGCTTTGGGACCGCCTGGATCCAATCGTCCTCCATTCTCCTGAGATCATGCGGCGGCGGCATCACGGCCTGGAAGGGCACCAACACGACGTTTGAGAACAACTACGGCGTGTACATCGTCGACTCGACGGTCAACGCAGCCAACTCGTCCCTGGTGTCCGAGATCAAGGGCAAATGTGCGCTCGGACGGCCCTGGAACTCGCTGCACCGGTCCATCTTCGTGAACAGCTACGAAGACGGCAGCATCGAGCCGTCTGGCTACATCAACTGGGAGGACCGGTGGGCGGCCAATCAGACGCTGATGGCCGAGTACCGCGCCTACGGACCGGGCTTCAATGCCACCGGCCGGAAGGAGGGCGGGGTGACCGTCCTGTTGAATGCACAGGAGTACAAGCGGTACGATTCGCTGGAGAAGGTGTTCTTGACACCGGAGGGTGAGGCGGGCAACATCGCCTGGATTGATTGGGACATCGCTGGCAAAGACTGATAGGTAGTAGCTGTGCTTAATTCCGCACCCAATCCATAAACTCGCCCTTTGATAATCTGCATCGAACCTCCAGACCCCAAATCTTCAAATCACACACACACATACACACACACACACACACAACCCCCTGGCCCCTCGACCATAGGAACAATCCCTCCTCCTCCCCAACCCAACCCAACCCAACCTCTAACCCCAAACCCTTGTAAAAACCCATCAAGAATCAAGCAGTCAACTCCCCCCTTAAAGCCAAATACGCCGCCCCGGTATCCGCCCAGACAAAATACTCCTTCACCTTCACCTCCCCATCCCCATCGCCTTCACCTCCAGAATCCCCCCCCAACCGCAACCGATAAACAAACCCCTCCCCCCACCCCTGCCCCGTCCGCTTCGCCACAAACCGCGCCCACCCGCGCACCACCACCACCCCCCGCGCACCATCCACCACCCACTCCGCCTCATCCTCGAACCGCATCCCCTCGTACCGGAGGTGGGCGCCCAGGCACTCGAAGTACTGTCGCGCGGCGTCGAGGCCGACGTAGTCTCTTCCCAGGAAGGGGGCGAGGGAGGGGAGCCCGTGCTCGTGGATCTTGATGTCCTCGGCGAAATTGGAGAGGAGGGTGGGCGTTAGCGGGGCTTGGGTGGTGAGGTGCGTGAGGAAGGTGTGGGTTCTGCGGAGGAGGGCTTCGGTTCTTTTGGGGGAGGGGGAGGGGAAGGGCATTTTGGGGTGGGTTGGGATGATTGGGGAGAGAGAGAGGGAGGAGACAAGGGTTGGATTTGTGGGTGTGGTTGTTGCTTGGGAGGTGTTGGATGGATGGTTGATGGTGAGGTTGTATAGCGTCCAGCTAGGTAGGTACTAGGTAGCTGGTGTGGAATGGAAGGGTCAATTGGATGTTAGGCTGGCTGGGTAGCTTGTTCAAGTTGTTGAAGATGATGAGAAGGATGTTTGATTAGAATTTCGAGCTAATGCGAAGAAGTATTTCAACTCACTACTTGTTCCAGCTCAATGATGAAAGGTGAATGACGTTGATTGCAATTGCCAGTGCAGTCTATGCAGTCAAGTTATGAACGATGACATAAGCAGCCACCGAATGTCAATAACGACAGGAAAAACATCCATGTTTTTGATCAGCCCAAGGTAAAATAACTCCACGCCGCCGCCCCCCTGTCGCAGGTAAGATATAGAACAAAAAAGTAATATCAGAATGAGAAAATACACAAAGGAGTCACTGCCGCCATGATTTTCCACAATTCATACAAGTACAGAACAACGTCATCGGTTCATCGGCACTGCGCGTCTGCGCCTCGGTATAGGTCACCTTGCGCTGCCCACACTTTCCACACTGCAGACTGGTACTGATGCTGCGCTCCGCCTGCGCCACCATCGCCTTGTCCATGTTCTCCTTTTGGATCTTGCGGTCGCGCTCCTGCTGCTCCGCCGACCGCAGCTCGTCGTGCGTCATCTTGACAAAGTGCTCGGCCGTGACCTCCCCGCTCAGGACCCGCACGCGCAGCATCGGGTTCGACTTGTTCTTCAGGTTCTGGTACAGACTGCGGATCTTGGTGCGGTACTGCTCCTTGGTCTCCGGCCCGAAGGCGCTGAACGCCGCCGCCTCCACGTTCGAGGCCTTGGCCAGCACCGTCCGCGGCGCCTCCGTCGCGTTGAAGCACAGCCCGTCGTACATCAGGCCGATGCAGCTGTCGCGGATCCGGTTGGAGGTCTGGTTCACGTCCACCCCGTCGGCCTTCCACGTGCGCTTGTCCGGCGGCACGGACAGCTTCGAGGCCTTATCCGAGGGCGTCGAGGCCGCGGTGCCGTTCGGGGTCGGCCGCGGCGAGCTGCTCGAGCGCTGGCTGGGGCCCGGCGATGCGCCCGCCTTCTGCTTGTTGACCTCGTTGCGCCACTTCGATACGATCTCGCTCGACAGGCGCGCCACCTCGGGCGCCTTGTGCTGCTTGAACTTGTTGACGATGATCCCCACGCGCGTCGAGCGCAGCAGATCCTCCGTGGCTCGGACGCCTTGTTGTAGTTCCTTGAGCAAAGCGACGATGTTGGCGGGCGGCTCGTTCTGGGTGGCCGCCTTGGTCAGAGCCTTGGCCTTGAGTTCGATCTCCTTCGCGTCCATCGGCATGGTGGGCGGTAGGTATAATGGAGGGTAGTAGTTATGGGAAGGTGCCTTTAGACTTCTGTTCCTGGTCAGTGACAGGTCTTCATAGCTCTGTGAGAGGCGACCCGAGCTCGCTGCTCCTCGAAGTAACAACCAGTTCACATCGTACAGACGACATTATGACATGGCAACCTCGGTCTCCAGACACCGTCCACTTCGACAAATAGAGCACGTGCAGGGGAAGCGGGGGCACCGGTTATGACCACCGTACAGTCTTGACGCCAGCTGTCGACTGAAAGCAAAGCTTGAAGCCGCCCAGGTTCATACACGTAGGAGGAATCGAGGTGTAGAAACAGGGGACGAACTCACTCAGGCGGTCGCACGAAGCGGGACTCGTCTAGCTGCAAGGAAGCGACAAGCGACTTGAGCGATGCGGGCAGGCGAGTTCTTAGGAAAAAAGCGCAAGATTATAGCAGCCCGACGAAGAGTGGAGAGGTTTCGGAGATGCTAAGTCTCAAGGCTCAGCCAGGATAGCAATGTCGGATGGAAAGAGGGAGAAAAGGACGAGTATTGAAGAGGACAAGTGAAGAAGAGAGAAGATGAGAAGATGAAATGCGACAAGCAATGCCAAGCCTGGGGATGCCAGATCAGGAATAGTGTATTTTGACTATTCCACGCGGCAAGCACCGGACGAAGTATGAAGCATCTGATAATGACCCTGCTCAAGTTGCAGCTAGATCTGAGTGGCAAGAAGTAGATGGATGAAGGGAACTATTCTCAAGCGAAGGCGAGACAGCTGGCTGATTGTCAAACCTCTGTTAAATCCGATTGTCCGATTGTCTTGATCAATATGACACACTTTCACCATCACCACCATCATCACCACTATCACCATCACCTCATCAGTGACTCACCACCAGCATTACGCGCAAAATTACCAGGTGAAAATTAAAGTTGCCAATTCTGCTCTCCTATGATCATGCCTAGCACCCATCCTACTTCGTCAGCGACCACTTCCGGTCGCAACAAATGGACATGATGCCCACAGTCTTCCAAATACACCAGGCGGCTTCGACTCGACAAGTGCAGCTGGTCCTCTTGCATCGCTTGATCCAATCCATCCCAGCGCTCCAGCAGGCGCTCAAATGCTTTCTGCTGTGCTTCACTACCATTGCCCGCAGCCACACCCGCTTCGTAGATCTTTCGGTAGTCCAGCGACCCACGACACCGAATCACCGACAGCGGCTTCTCCCCTAATGCTTGGTGTCGATACTGCTCTTTCGCCCCCAGAGTCTGACAGAGCTCTACTAAAGCATTGGCCTCGGCTGCCCAGGTTTGCTGCCCGCGAGCAATATCCTTTGCCCGCGTCCGCCACTCCTCCCGCGACAATTGCGCGTCGATCCGCAGACCAGTTACCTGTGCAAAATTCAATCTGCCCTGCACCGCAGAAATATCAAGGTCGGGATCTTGCAAGAGCTCAGGCTGCCGTTCTGTCGAGCCATCCGCAAGGACCATACCAGCCACTGCTCGAGGATTGAGATGAAGGAATTCGCGTGCGATGATCGCGCCATAGGAATGTCCGACAACAAGATAGGGAGGTGACAGCTGCGCCTGATCAAGTAGTGTGTGCAGTTCTTGGGCGGCCGTAGTGGCGCGATGAAGCACTAAATCTAAACCACCTTCGCTGCGGCCTAGTCCACCCCGGTCGTATAACAGGAGCGTCGCAAAGGTGCCGACTCGGCGTGCGACGGCGCAGTAGGACGAAGCCACATCCCCCGCGCCAGGGATAAAAATCACGAGCGGGTGCCCAGCAAGCCGAGAAATGCCGCTCAGCGTGGCGAAAAGATGGTAAGTCCCAACCGAGACAAAACCGCCGTTGCGTAAATCCGACGCTGGCATCGTGTATACACCTTGCTCGTGTGTAAGAACCCATGGAGGATGAGTTCGATGACAACCAGTCGGCTGGGCCCGGGCAACCACTGCCACTGCAAGACACTAAACTGGCCAATCTGGGCTGGGTCTCAATCTTACAGGCCGACGATCGGCACCCAACCACAACACTCCTAAACAATGTATCTTTGAAAACTCAAACTTCTTCAATATAGGCTTATTCGCTAGATGATGCATCTTAAAAGTTGGACCCATTGGGACGCAGATCGACGGTCTCGAACTCCAAGCCCTTGGCTTCAAATACGTGCCCCGGGCGAAGAGCGTCAGTATAGATATTGGCCTCCCCATGAGGATGGAATAAGCCCGGCTGCGTGCAATTGAGCACTGTCTTCAATCCCGGGGGGTCAGTCAATCGGAAAACACCCCAGTCTGGCATCTTACTCGGCGCGCATACGATCGCTATGCTCTCCGGAAGCATTACCTGGTATCCACAATGGGTGTGTAGATCGCGTGAGCTCATGAAACATGTCTGGGTTGGGTGTGTGTGAATCCAGCCCAGCACCATTAGATCCTCCGAGTCACAATAGTCGAAGATGGCTGTCTCGTTCACTGTCTCACACGTATCTGACGTGGCGGTCTGCTCTGGGATCAGAAGCCGCGACACGAATAAGGCATTCGAGATCAATGTACCGCACAGTATCCCACATGTCTCCAGGTTGCGTTGTGTATTCGGTGCGGCCAGGGACAGGAAATGTGTCCGTAGCTCGGGCGGGAGGAACAAAGTCCGCAATGGCGTGCCATTTTCCAGGTAGGCAGACGGCTTGAAAGTGAAGCTGGACGGATTTAGGTCGGTGCGCGTCTCACTATCCGACTTTGGCCGTACCTTGGCAGGAACTGCCGGTGCCAATGCCGGTGTGGAAATTGGAGAGCGCTTATCCGGACGAGGCGGAGGCGCTGACCTTTCGTCCAGTCCATGGTCCTGGGGCAGTTCTTTAGGCGGCAGTGCGGGGACCCCTGGAGCAGGCGGAAAGAGACCATGCAGCTCTTTTTGAACGGAGGTGGAGGCAATATCAGCAGGCCGTTGACGGGGAACACTCGGATATTTGTAGGTCGCGCTGCTGCCTGGTGCAGCTGGACGGGACGACGTTGTATGTTTAATGTTACCCGGCGCAGAAAGCTCCGCCTGCGGACCACCCTCCATCTTCAGTCGCACATTGTGAATCCGTTGGCTCAAGTCATCGTCAGCATCCTTGCGTAAAGCATGTTCCCAATCACCCCAGACTCCGGCTGCACGACGAGTCTGCTCCTCCTCCGGAGAAATACCAGCCTGGCGTATGGCCTTGCGAACCGTGGCTCTGCGACTGATCTCCGTGCGGGCCAGCTTCACGGCCAGGTCGCGATTCTCTCCAGCCTCTAAGGGCTTTGCAACACCGGCTAGCGCAGGATCTTGGGGCAGTTGTCGCCGAAGGTCTGGAGATGTAGGGACGGCTGTGATCGAGGCGCGGTGTTGCCGTTCGCGCATCAACTGGAGGTAACGTTCGTAGCGTTTGGTTATGCGAGGCTTCAGGGTCTCGAGAACCTTCAGGTTTCGTTTGACCTGTTTCTCCGCCTCTACCAAGGCTTTGCGATTACTCTCATCCTTGGCCTCCGGATGCTCAGCTAGATGAACCAGCACGAGCTGAGCATGTCTAAACAGTAGAAGGTACGCTTGTTCCTCATGTTGTTCTCGTTCGTAGATGCGAGCCTGCCAACAACGGGGGGAGGTTGTGTTAGTATCAGTTCGGCGCTAGCATAGTCAAAAGAATACCGTACCTCTCTAATGAGTGTCGAGGCTGTCCGTAGCCAGTACCGTAAGGGAATGGAAGGGTTGTATTCGTAATCCTGAGCCAAGCGAGTGATCGACTCGACGCTCTGTGGAGGTAAAACCCCCGCACCGGCTGTTGGGGGCAGATGGGCGGTCATCTTGACCGAGCGTCTGTCCTTGGTAGTACAATAAACGAGGGTCAACGAGTGGCTGAGCTTTGGAGAAATGATCTGGATTGTGGTTCATACTCCTTCCGGCTCGGTTGCCACAGGAGGATGTTTGGAGGGATTAATAGAGGAGAGGCGGAAGAGGCAGCGGCGTGAACGCCGGAGGAGATTAGTGGGTGAGGAGCTTAAAGCTGCGGCGAGCGGAACCTCCGCCGCATATCTTCAAATCACGCCCGCGCTCTTCACTCTTTACTCTTCACTCTTTTTGTCCCTGCTCTGCATAACCTCCCTCCACTTTCACAACCGGCATCATTACGCCCATTCTGGCGATGAGCACTCGGCTTAGGCAGTTGTGCTACTATCGCCTTAACACCTTCGAAAATGGCGACCAAATTCCCGGTCGAGTCGGTGGCAATGAGAGCAAGACGAACTGCGAAAATTTCGTCGGTGAGAGGAGAGCGATGGATCCCTGACTCTAACTTCCCCATGGCTACTGCTATTTTCGATCATCTCCATAAGAATCGATTGAAACGCCAAGTGATGAGGCCGGAAATAGTCAGTGAAGAGCTTGGTGGTTAGTTGCGCCTTCACTCGACTCGTAAGGTACCAGTCGACGCTAATCATGGAGTGTTTCTAGTCCACGTTATGCAGCGCCTCGCACCTTTCCTTCGCCGCAATGCACCCACGGATATTCTCGATTTATGGCCAGGTTGCGGACTCTTCTCATCGAAAGTCAACGAGTTCCTTCGGCCGCGTCGACATGTTATGTTGGAGCCGGACTTAAAACTCTGGCAAAAGTTCCTGGAGCCTCTAACCGAGGCGGGAGAGGGCTACAAATTGCTTGACACAAACCCTCGTTCCTTCTCCGCCTGGGATGAGCTTTTGAAAGAACATTTTCCTGAGCAGGGTCCTGAGAATGCCGATACCAGCGGGGCACTACCTTGCAATTCCAACTTGCTGGTGGTCGCCAACTTGACGCGCCCGCCCTCGCCGAAAGACCACATGACTACAACCCGATGGATTTCTTCCTTTATGGAAGCCTGCCTATGGCAAAAAGGCTTGCACTCATACGGTGCCGTCCGCCTGTTGGCTGTACTGCCTCAGGATGATTTTAGCGGCGTAATCCCCCACGAGCCCGGCGACCGCAAACGCGCCGCGATTTTGACTGAGAACGTCGCTTTGCACAACGTCACGGTTGCCACACACGACGAGCTTTGCTTCTGGGCCAACGTAAAGGGTGTCAAGTACGCTGAAGAGGAACGCATCCGTGTCACAGAGCAAGCATCGGCCAACGGTTTCCTGCCTATTCCGGGCCGTGAGCCATCCCCTATAACCCCCACGCCGGACTTCTCCCATCTTGCTCGTGACCCCGAAAAGCATCGCTACGAGCCCCGCATTCGGAGCGAGCTCCATTCGCAGCTGCTGGAGGAAATCGAAAGGATTGACAAGATGTCACCGAGTTCGCCGGATTACAAAGCAGCCAGAAAGGTCCGCGGTCGCGCAATCACTCGGATCAATTCAGAACACCGAGCGAACGGCCTCAACAGACTCATTGTCGAGAAATTGATGCAGCTGGAGGAGCTGTACAAGAGCGTGGCCCGCTTGGCCGCGCGCCCGACAACCACGCGCGCCGACTTCGAGCCGCTCCTTTCTGAAATCGCCTCCTTGAAGCAAGTCATCGACGCCGATTACAAAAAAGTCCAGACTAAATGGCGGCCCTCGCTACGACATACGCTAGACGACATGCGCTCCCGGGCTTCCGACGACAGGGCGGCCCTACTGCACTGGGACCGCCGGCCCTTTGAGCCGCTACGCATGCAGGACAACGAGACGTACCCGCGGGACGAAAAGCGCAGCATCCTCTATTTCGAACCGGACCCCAACTCGCCCGTGGCGCGCAAACTCTTCTCCCTCGACCCCGCGACGCGCGCCACCGCCGCCGACCTCTTCGAAATCCTCACCCTCTCCCTGTATCGCGGCCGCACCGATCTCACCCTCGGCGAGATGCTACCATTGGTGTTCCCCGGCCGATCAATCAACGACTGCGTGCGCGCGATCCCCGGCCTGGTGCAGCACACCGTCCGCACCCCGAAGCCGGATTTCGACGCCCTGCCCAAGACCCTCATCGCCGAACCCAGTGCCGGCGCCGCGGCGCAGCAGCAGCTGGACCCCGCCATGTGCTTCCAGGAGAACCTTGACTACGACGTCAGCGACGTGCGCGTGCACATCATCCCTTGCCCGGTGCTGTGGGACATCTGCATCGAGTACTCGCACTACGAACACCGTCAGTCGATCCGGTCGCTCGCTCGCGCCCTCGGCGCCACATTGACGGGTTCCCGACTTGGGGCTCATCTTACCAAGGGCAAGAGGCTCAACTGAGTCCGCTCTTGCAGCGTCTGGGAAATAGAAAAGCACCAACGAAGAACAAGCAACAAAATCAAGAAAAAGAGAGTGCGCGAGCAAGAGGTATTGCGACTATTGCGGACCCTCACACATCGATCCCTTGTATACTAAACTGTATAAATATCTTCTCGACCCGTCACCACACCATCCCCGAACCTGGTCGGCCGATTGGCCCACGGCATACCTCTGGTGGATATACTAGACATGGGATCTCTTCATCCTTACGAGAAAAGATCATTCTCCCCTCATCAACACTCTCTCGCCTTTATCGAAACATAATTCAACCCACAATCGACTCGAGAGCAAAACCTGAATGCTCTCGGAACTCTGCGGGCTTTCGTTCCGCACAAACCAAGAACTTGCCGTCCGTGGAACTCGAAATTTCAAGATTAGGGATAACGGCCGAAAAGTCTTCTCCGGCTTGTGTCCGGGGGACGCTGGCAGACTCGAGTTGCGCCCCCCCCCCCCCCCCACCCGGCCCTAGGCGGGCTGGCTGGGGAGCATCACCTTGCAGAGACTAGGCGGTTCACCACACCCGCTAGGTTTCTCTATGTATGGTTTCCTATTTACCGGTGATATATCAGCCCAGTGGATCTACGCATCTATGGTCTAGAAATGCTGTCGCGGTCCGCACTGCACAGCAGCCTCCAACGGGGGGCGATTGGCATGGAAGAACGGGCTTTTGTACAAAATGACGACTTGGCATCGCCATCTCATAGAATTAGACTACAATACCAATAGAGAAAAGGAATCAAAAAAGCAATCCCTCGGCGAGGGGAAGTATATTTCAATAGACATGATGGATTCATGAATAGTACATATTAGCGAATGATGGGAACAGGGTACCCGAAGAACCAAGAGCTGCCAAAAAATATGTCAAGGTAATATAAAAAAAGAGAACCAAAAAAAAGTTGGCGCGAAGATCGGAATGTATCGTCGACCTTGCGAATCTAAAATCTAAAACAGGGTATCTTTTATAGTTTGTATGGTCGAATAGAAAGCGGAAAGAGATTAGAACGATCGTAGGCGCCGGTGAAAATGCCGCGAAGGGAAGAAGTGGGGGGAAATGTTGAGGAAGAAAGTATGGCAGAAGAAAATAAGTGAAGAAGGTTATCCGGCCAAGTCAAGGAAGAAGAAAGAGAAGAGTGAAAATGAAAGGGAAAAAGTAAGAATGGCCGAAGAGAATCAAGAAATGACCGGCGGTCCATTGAAAAAGACCGATGAGAATGACGGTTGTCCGATGGAGGATGTGACCGAGGCATCATCAGTGAACGGATTCAGTGAGGTGCAGCCAGTCATCCGGGTGGATGCGCTGACTCGGATCCTTGGCGATGGCAGGCTTAATAATCTGCTCGACAACTCCCGCGCGAGGAACGCGCGAACCATTAGGGCCCGAGCGGGCGAAGTCGATCACCCGATGGCCCTCGCGAGCCATGGCCAGGCGCTGTAAATTGCTGGCACCTGGGTAGAGAAGAAGATCGCCAGTGGCTGCGGCGAGAAGACTGACGGCAAGGGAAAAGACATCAGATTCGGGAGTGGGCGCGACGTCCGGTGACGTCAAGGAGGAGACACAGAGTAATTCCGGGGCCGCGAATGGCGGCGTGAGCGCGGTTAGGGCTGTGCCCATGCTGCACTGTTCGGGTGAGGAGGGGCTGGCAATCGGGTGCGCAGACGAGAAATCGGCAAAGAGCGGCTCGTATGGGAATGAGTCCGAATCCAAGTCGAGATCCTGGCCACTGGGTGAACGTAATCGCAGCAGGATATTGTGGGGTTTGATATCACCATGCACCATCTGCGGACCACTGTGCAGCCAGGCCAAGCCAGCAATGAGCTTTTCGGCCAAGACGTGCCAATGGGCCATGCCTTGAACCGGGTCGAACATGGTCTGCGTGGATCGGGTCTTTTGTGCGATGGCGGCCTTGTCCTGAATGTAGGTCGACAGCGCCAGCGGCACGGCGGACATGACAATGGAATGCGACTCGGAGATGTACCCATGGAAGGGCACGACATGGTTCTCCGCGCCTGCTACGCGGCTGATCCGGGTCAGTGCGCGGGCTTCAGCATCAAGGACGGAATGCGCATCCCGCCTCACAGGCGACTTGACAGCCACCACCCGGCCTTTGACGGCTGGGGAACTCGGAGGGGTCAAAAGACCCGATTTGACGGCGGGAGAAGAGGACGCTTTGTACACAACGCTCCAGACGCCACGGCCAAATTCGACCGCGCGTCCCTTCGGGTCGTAGTGGTACTCGAGATCGTCGGTAAAGTGCTTGGTATCGGAGATTTTCTCGTCAAGTTTCTCCGGTTTGGCATCCACCGGGGAGAGAAAGGGGCTGGAGGTATTGGAATGCACGGTAACCTCGCTGCCGGAGAGATTGTCATCGTCGATGGTGGGCGTTACCGGGGGAGTAAGTCCACGCAGCACGGTCGAGTGAGGAGTATGTTCACACTCATGCTGAGTACGCACGGAAAGCCGAACAGGCATGTGCGTGATAGCCATGACGGAATAATCTTTATTGAGCCTTTCTTCTGTAGTCGCGGTTGAAGAGGCAGAGATCCGAATGCGACGGATCCGGCAAAAGCGGCGACTCGGATGGATCACTATCTGAACCCGCCAGATGGGGGGGAAACTTGAGGAAATGTTAGGTGTATCTATAGCTTCGGTGTAGTATCAGGAGAGAGTCGGTGGTAGATGGATAAGAGGGAGACCCTCTTCTTGTATAGTTCTGCAGATACTGCAGAGATGGGGCTGATGGAGCAGTTATAGGCTGCAGTGCTATAGATTTGGCGGAAGATGACTGGTGGCGATCTCGTCGAGATGACGTCGGGGGTCCAAGGAAAGTCAAATGAAGAACGGTTGGAATGATTCCAAGGGGAATTTTACGGAATGAGTCACTTTAGCATCAAGTGTTGGCGATCAGAGGAAGTCAAGTAATTGCAAGGATTGATTCGAAGGAGGTTGGATAGGCATCATCGGAGGAATGAAGGACGGAGAAAAAAGTGAGAATTGGATAGAGAGAAGAGAGAAGGGGAAAATAAGTTCAAGGGAGAAAAGAGGCAAAAGAAAAGAAGAAGAAGAGAAGCAAATTAATATTATTATTATTCGTAGGAAGTCAAGGGAAAGGAAAAAAAAAAAGAGAGGATCGACCGGGGAAAGAAGGAGCTTAATTGTGATGGCAGAACCATGGCCGCAACAGACGAGGCAGAGTCAATCGATTATTCCACCGTCACCGCGCGTCCCTCGACAATAGATAGATTGGTTGATTGATTGATTGGATTGCAACTGCTACCGTTACCGTCACATAGAGATAAAGTAGACTAAGAGAAAAAGACGAAAAGGCGTAAAGAGGTCGAGAGGGTGCGGCTCCCCACATAGTTCTATTGGGTCTATTGGGTCTATTTTTCCCGCAGTTGTTGCAGACTGTGCTGTGTGACTCGGGATAACTATGGAGTATGGAGAAGTTGAGAATTCACTCTCTTCAGTCTTCACTCTTCTAGGTATGAAGATAAGTTTTGAACTACTCCGTTCCGAGGATCAACTCAGAATACGAGACTGTACCTCATTTGTACCTGGACTCCTGCCGGAGGCCACCGGAAGTGGCCGTGAGTATCGAACAATGAACGGAAAAAGACCGAAAATGACCGAAAAAAACGACCAGGAGAAGTACATCCACGGACACTATACCTCATTCGGATTCGACGGCTGGCTGGATTGGGTAAATCCGGTGGAGACGAAGAGGGAGCATTTCGTGCAGTTCGTCCGTCCTCATTATTCCCTCTCCCTCTCCCTCTCCACTCCACCTTGAACCGCTGTCAAATCTCCTCCTTCCCTCCTCAATGCTTCGCTTTTTTTATTATTCATCTGCTGCTGATCCCTTTCTTTTTCGGCTTTCCACCGCAGACGCCATGACGAACACCCTTGAACCTGCGACAATTGCACTAGTCTACTCGTCGGGAACGGTGGCATAAAAGCAGACCAAAAGCCCGCATGACAATGACAGGAGGAAGGATCCGAATGGTTGAACGATTGTTCCAATAGTATCGTTAATAGTGTCCGACCAGTATCAGTGCTTGCTTGTTTCCATTCGGCCCAACCCAGGGATCTTATCTCGACGCCCCCCGGCCTGCGCATCGACCTCCGACTGCTCTATCCTCTGCACGCTACCCTCTCACCTGCAGACCATCCAATCTCCGTCCCTACCGCGCATCTGCACAGTGCCTTCCCCGGCAGTCGTGTGCTTACAAGATTTAATATGAGCCTTCGAAGAGAAAGAGGAGACAAATGACTTCCTTCCCTCCCCATCCAGTATCTCCTTGCGACCACCCGACCCATCCCTCCGTTCGAGGCCTGTCTATTGCCGCCGAATGATCAATGGAAGTGGTCGGCTTCGACAGCCAATCTCCACCCCCACGTGGGTCCTCATCTGCCATGGACTCATGGAAATTGGCCGCCATTAAACGCGCTCCACCCGCCCTTCCCAACACGGTAGGTTGGGCGGACTTGTTTTCTGGGTCACCAAAAACAATGGGGAAGCAGAACGACCTGGCCCGGAGAGATTCATGCCCGCCATCGAACTGTATCCACTGTTCCACTGCCTGTGATCTCGCTCAAAATGCGATACTCAGGGTATTGGTCCAAACCAATCTCGGCCGCAAGACCGACCGATGTGGTGTCAAGGCCACGCACTGATTCCAGCAGACACTTAGAAAAATCAATCCATATCTTTCCTGTCGCCGATGTACAATACGTAAGTTGGACGCTCCCAGATCACCAGTCGAGTTTAGCCTCAAGGAGAATTCGCGGCCTTTTGCCGCAGCAGGGATGGAGTAACAAGCAACCACGATGGCGCATCGCGCACTCTGGTTCGGTTACAACTTACAAGTCACCTGTGGCTTTCGGACAGAGAGCACCGCAATCCAGATCTACGGGAACACAGCCCCATGCCAAGGCTAACGGTCGCCAACCCCATGTCTGCGATAGCTACTCGAGCATATCACACTCTCAACCATCAAATCAGTTGCATTCCTGATCGTCCCGTTGCCTTCTCTAGAGTAAGTCTATGGATAACGGACACTATTTACACCAGATAAGCCCCAATGCCCCGATACCCCGCCTCGACGCACGCCAAAAATAGATCCCTTTCGAGTCATCACAGTTGAGCTACCCCTCAGTTACTGTCATTTCCCACCACGCGAATGAGCTCATCCAAAGGCTTCTTCTCCTTGGGCGGTGGTGGTCCGCCCTCCGGCACGCCAAACACCAATTGCGCCCGCAGCTTCCACTGCGCAGGCACCTCGAAGGTGCTCGCGACCTTATCGTCGATGATGGGGTTGTAGTGTTGCAAGTTGGCGCCAAACCCTTCCGTCTCGAGCGCCGTCCACGCAATCAACTGATGCATGCCGCTGGTCTGTTCCGACCAGGCCTCAAAGTGTTCCGCATACGATGCGAACTTGGCCTTATGGTCTGCGACCACGGTCTGATCCTCATAGAAGAGCACCGTGCCGTAAGCGGCGCGGAAGCCGTCGATCTTGGGCGCAGTCTTCTGGTACCGCTCAGCCCCGATGCGAGTGAGCAGGGAGTCCTTGACGATGTCCCATAGCTTGTCGTGCTCCTGTTTCAGCAGGACCAGGATGCGTGTGGTCTGAGAGTTGAAGGCCGAGGGGGTCTGCAGCACGATCTGATTGAGAATCGATTGGATCTTGGAGTCAGGGATGGGGGATTCGCGACGTAGGGCGTAGTAGGAGCGTCGGCCAGCAAGGGCCGCTAGGAGGGTGGAGCTGCCGGACATGGTGGTTTTCTTGTTTTGTGGAAGGACAGGGAAGGGAGAGATCTGCGTGAGTGACTTTCCAGATTTCCCTGCCCAGCTGCATTTATAGCGTGGTCAAGCGCAGCGTAGCGAGGGCATGCCAGCAAATGACGCGACATCGGAGATGATAGTAGAAATTTTTGGAATAGCAGGGGGGCTGGTCGTAAACAAGCAAATACGAGGTAGGGTTCAACTGATATAATATGATTTAATCAAAGCTTACTTCGTATAGCTTTATTAGACGCCGTGCTATCGTGGTAGTTGAATTAGTATACGAATTGGTCGACCGCTTGGACCAGCCAGGAAGCTGCATTGGCCAATTTATCCCCACCTTTACGGATGTCCGGGAGAGATGGAGTTGCAGCTGGAGCAGAAGTTGGAGCCTGGAGCTCAACAACCATCCACAGAGCAAGGACAAAACGTATACCCGCCCGATTTCAAGCATGATGTCACCACAGACAAGCATCCAAGTCAAGTATCCCAGAGCGCCTTTTGCAGACCCTGTTCCTGATATACAAAACCTACCACATACCTACATACCCACTTACCCTCAGACTTACCATCTCGCTCCCCGACCACCTTCACATTCACCTCATATCACCCCACACCACCTCAAGCATCCCCATCGCCCCCCAAACCCATCTTCCCCTGCTGCTGCTGCTCCACGAAACCCTTCAAATCCTCCACCCAGCACCGGAAATTCTCCTCCAACCGGCGCCCAAACATCCACTTGACCACATACGCCAGATACCCCTCCTGCACCTCCCAATTCGTCACCTCCGTCACCACCCTCACACTTCCAGAGGAGGCATCCACAACCTCCCGCTCCACCAGCTCATGCACCCTCTCCGCCGACAGAAGCGCGGCCATCACCCGGCCCTGGAAGGCGGTATCGTTCGCCCAGGTGATTCTTGCTCGGCGGGTTGCCGTAGGTGTAGCTGTAGAAGTAGACCCGGGACTACCATCCCCATCCTCCCCTTGGCTATTTGGGTGTGAAGCAGGCGAAGGCGGAACGACCTCTATCACCACGAGACCGACATGGTTATCCACACTCTGGAAAGACTGCGGCGCCGTGGACGCGGCGGCGGGGTGCATGTTCACGTGGAAGGTCATGCGGGTGCCTTTTTGGAGTGTACCACCACTACCCCCACCAGCAGCAGTTGTTGGTGGTGGTGGTGGTGTTGGTGTTTGGGAGGGTTGAGTGGTGGTGGGAGGAGATGTTTCTGTTTCTGGTGCGGGTGTGGTTGTGGTTGTGGTTGTGGGTATAGGGTGATCATCATCAAGGGGAGAAGGGGGAGAAGGCTGCTTGCGGATCGTCACGGCGGGCACGAAGCGGTTCCATTCGGCCCAGGTGGTGCTGTCTGTGAGGGCGGACCAGACGGCGTCGAGAGGGGCGTGGATCTGGATGGAGCTGGTTAGGTGGAGGATTGGGGAGGAGGAGGACATCTTTGGTTTCGCTGGATTGTGGATATTGACATTCAGGGTGAGTGGGCTAGTTGATGAGGGGTGTTGTTATCGGGATGGTCAGTAGATGGACATTGATATATGTAAGTCGGTGCAGTTGTATGAAGTGTTGTTGATGACCCCGTACGTAGATGGAGGCAGAATCCACTAACTACCGTCGCAGCCAAGCCAGCTAGCTACACACCGCCCGACCCTCAACGGCCTCCCCCGAAGCCCCCCCGGCCGGGTAAATTCAATTCAATCCAAGCCTTAGCCTAAGGCTATCCGCCAAGCTCTCTCTCTTCCCCCTCTGGTCCGAACTACGGAGTAAAGTTTCCGGGAGCAGAGAGAGTATAAACCCCGTCGATCCTTATAAGCATTCTTAATTGGCCTAGGCCTGGGTCTCACTAGTGAATCAATTTCGTTTCCATCTTCCTTTCTGAAACAGGTCACCTCAAAATCTAGACCCTGCGGATCATAATCAAACGGTGTTGCGGGATGGACTGGACTGGACTATCGGGTACCTACCTCCATACATGCTGTAACCTGCGTACTGCCCATCAAAATGCAGACAGGGTAGGGGGAGAGTTTGTCTGGGTCCTTGCATTAGCGGGAACTCTCTCCTGTAAAGATTGAAGTGAAAGTTTAGGTGGAAGATGAGGCACTGTAGGAAAGGGGGTTGATTGGACTTTTGCTGGCATGCTTGCTCTTAAGATAGTTTCTTTTGTCTGTTTGGGGAAGGGACAGGCGGTGTTTCTTGGATTGGATAGGGTTGGGATATGTTTGCGATGCAGATGGCGGATATACAGTTTATCTTGGGGTGAAGCCAGATGGAAGTCGTCAATCATCTGCGAGAGATCAGATGTCCTAACGGAACTCAAGCGGTGAACCTCCACCAACGCAGACTGGATTTGATTGCATCAGAGTGTGTGTGTGCCTAAGCCCGAAAGGACAGAGTTACCAGGTCTGAGGCCACCGAGAAATCCTCTGGATTAGTGGACGGTCAACGACGACGGCCTCTAGCAAATCGTTCCAATGCACATCTACCGTAAAGCATCTATGGACCTTTGTTCCACTTCCACTATCCCGCCTCGATTCCCAATATTAGAGAGACATAAGTCTAGACCTCATCACCCAAGTTCACTCCCTGCGCATGAACCAACCAAGCCCCTCAATCCCGTCAGAAAAAAATGGTATCATCGAACCAACCCATAAACCAACTCCATTCCATGACAACTACTCCAAGAAACCGACGGCATAACATATCATACCCCCGTGACCGGATCAAGCCCATCAAACCGCACGGACTTCCGCCGCTCCTCCGCCGCAAACGAATCCCACCGCAGCTCCTGCACAATCTGAATCCCATGCGCTGCTGCTGCGTCCGCAGGTTGCGGATGCTGCGGATCCCCCAGACTCAGACTCTCCCTCGAGAACCTGCCCGCGACGCTGGTGACGTAGCTCGTGCTGGACGGCGCGAAGGGGTTGCCGTGCCCGTGGCTGACGATGCTGACGCCGCCGCTGGGGCGGGAGGGTTTCTCGCGCGGGTGGTAGGAGCGCGCGCGGGAGGGCATCAGGCGCGGGAAGAAGCGGATGATGAAGGGGCGGAGCGGCGGCAGGCAGGCGCAGATGATGGCGACGTTGCATTCGATGAAGGACCATGTTGCGGCGAGGCCGTTGCCCTCTGGTCCACAGAAGTTAGTTTCGGTTGGGTCTTCCGTCACGTAGGAGGGAATTTGACTCTTGATGGCCGGGACAGAAAGAAGGCACTACTATACCTGTAAAGTCTGGGGAACGAATGAGTTTGACGATCGTCGTGAGCCGGATTACGCTCATCGCGCATACACTACGAACTCCAAAGTTCCAGATTAGTGATTGTGACAACCAGCAGAAAAGGTAGGTAGACGAACAAAAATCCCAGAGCGAAGATAAGAATCAGTGCGACCTTCTGTCGTTTGGGGATCTGCAGCTTGGCCAGCACGGGCATCGGCAAGGTGACCAGCAGCAAGTCGGTCGAGATCTGGAATCCCGCGTTCAGGCACCATACGACGCCCTCTGGGAGACAGGTCCGATGCAGCGACGTGTCCCAGAAGGACCGAACGGGAATGCAGAAGAGAATCGCACTGAACACCATCCACATCCCCGTGGCGATGACGAAGAATAAGGTGACGGCCAGGATGATCTGGTAGTACTTCGTTGGAAACAGACGTTTGTAGAGGAAGATCAACGACAGTTTGGTCAGGGTCAAACTGAGGTTGTAGAGCGGAATCGTGATGTACAGAGCCTATTCATTCCTGCGGATCAGATTTCGTCCATGAAGTTGATATCCAGTTGCCTGGTTCGTGTGTGTGAGTGTGTGGGTTACCCTGAGTTGATTGCGTATAGTATTCGGACTGAGAAGTTCCTGGTTCTCTGCTAAGCCATTGCGGACCTCTGCTCAATATTAGTTTCTGGCCTTCCAGCGAAACCCGATAGGGATAGCTCGTACCAACTATCAAGAAAGCGAAGAACCCGACGTCTGCCGCCTGTGCTTCACATTAGCTCAGACATCTAGTGCAAGATGCCACAGGAGGACCTACCAGCGAAAGGACGATCAGCAGGTCATCCAGGCCAGGCGTTCGAACCATATGCAACCGCGTGTACAGACGCAGCGCGACCACCAAGCACGCCAAGGAGAGGAAGGTGACCGCAATGGGCACAGCGTACATGGTGCCGCTTGATGATCGCGATCACTGCGAGTGCCGCATAGAGTCTCTCTGTCTCCAGTGCGCGGTGCGTTACCGTGCGTTGAATCTGGTCGTGTGTTGCCGTGTGAGGCCGTGCGGGTATAGGTACAGTGGTTGAAGAAGCCAAGATTTAAACATTTTAATAGTGGCGAGCTCCCACAGTAACGCGGGGAGAATGTGCATGTAACAACCATATTCACTTGCGTCAAGGACCAGCGGGGAAGCTCAAGAAAGTGAATCGTAGCTCATTCCCGCTTGGTGTTACCCATGGTTCGGCGGCCGGTCATCGCCGGAATCGCCCAGTCCGGCCGAATTGGTTTGATGCATTTGACTTGGTAGCTGCAACAACCAAGGAATTTCTGTTTCCTCAAAAATAAGAGCAGAGCAGAGTGGAACAATCAATTGTCAGCAGGCATATTCCATTATTTGTTTGGCATGTACATAATTTTTCATCATCACACATGGGAGGTGTAGGAACAACGCGGAGACAGAGCTTATACAAAGGTCCAGGAGAAACTCCAGCTAGAAAGATGCTATACAGCATTGACCTTGCATTCGGGTCAGGGGGCTTGTGCAATTGCCCCTTCCTTCCCAGCCCAGAACTGTACAATATGGTCACCATGGTATGTCGTCCTTCGATCCAAAAACTAGAAAATCACAAACCAGCCTTATGAGCCGCACGCTAAGCAATATTCAAAAATGCAACAAGGAAAGGATTTACAGGCGAGCCTTGAGGTTGGACTTGAGGCGGCGCTCAACGGCAGCCATGTACTCGCGGGTGGTGACCCAGGCCTCGCGCTCCTTGCGGCCACAGGCCAGAGCCAAGTCCTTGGTCATGATACCCTCCTCGTTGACAACGTCAATGCAAGCCTTCTCGAGCTCCTCAGCGAAGGCCACAACCTCGGGGGTCTCGTCGACCTTGCCACGCTGGATCAGACCACGGGTCCAGGCGAAGATAGAGGCAATGGGGTTGGTGGAGGTCTCGCGGCCCTTCTGGTGCTCGCGGTAGTGACGAGTCACGGTACCGTGGGCAGCCTCAGACTCGAAAGCCTCACCGGTAGGGGTGGCCAGAGTGGAGGTCATCAGACCAAGGGAGCCGAAGCCCTGAGCGACAATGTCAGACTGAACATCACCGTCGTAGTCTGGAAAGCTGATTAGTACATGTAACGTCCGTCGAGATGAAGTGCGGAGAACTCACTCTTGAGAGCCATGACGAAGCCACCCTCGCTCTTGATCATCTGGGCGACCATGTCGTCAATGAGGCGGTGCTCGTACCAGATCTTCTTGGCCTCGAAGTCCTTCTGGTAGGTAGACTCGTAGATCTCCTGGAAGATGTCCTTGAAGCGACCATCGTACTTCTTCAGGATGGTGTTCTTGGTGCTCATGTACAGAGGAAGACCCTTGAGCAGGGCCATCTGGAAACTGGCATGGGCGAATCCGCGGATGGACTCATCAGTGTTGTACTGAGTCTGGGCAATGCCACCACCCTGGAAGTCGTAGACATTGATGGTCTCAGCCTCACCGCCGGCAGGGGTGTAGACGAGCTCGAGCTTTCCGGGGCCGGGGATGACGCGGTCGGTGGCACGGTACTGGTCACCGAAAGCGTGGCGGCCAATGATGATGGGCTTGGTCCATCCGGGGACAAGACGGGGGATGGCGGGGATGATGATGGGCTCACGGAAGACGGTACCGCCGCTGAGGAAGGGTTAGTACAAGATTAGAAATGGGCCTGTTTGTGACTCAGAACTTACAGGATGTTACGGATGGTGCCGTTGGGGGACAGCCACACTGCAGGACAAGGTTCGTTAGCGAGCCCAATTCCGAAGTCTCGAGTGGTACAATCACAACATACTCTTCTTCAGCTTGAACTCCTCAACACGGGCCTCATCGGGAGTGATGGTGGCGCACTTGACACCAACACCATACTTCTTGATGGCCTCAGCGGCCTCGACGGTGACCTTGTCGTCGGTCTGATCACGGTACTCAAGACCCTGCAAGAGAATGTCAGTCGCCGATGACCGGTTATAGCTAGGCTGATTCGGGCGAAAGAGCTTACAAGATCGTAGTACTTGAGGTCGATATCGAGGTAACTGGACACACATGTCTCAATTGGACTGTCTCATACTTCCGGATCGGAACGAATTGTCACTTACGGCAGGATCAACTATAGAAGCGGGTCCAAGTTAGCATGCAGTTCCGGGAGATCACGGGTAAGAGCATTGCCCCGGAGGGTCCAGCCGAGGCAGACTCACCTTCTCTCTGATCTCCTTCCAGATGATACGGGTCATCTAGGAACAATATTAGCACATGTCAAGAGATATACGATCCAGAACTCTTCAATGCTCTGAATCGTCGGAGAGATTGGTCCTTGGCCGCATGGGAGAATGCAGCCGCGGCTATGCTGCCCCGCGTTTTCAGGTGCGCCTTGCCGTCATGGCGCGCCTGTCTCCGACGCAGAGGTACCACAGCCTATAAAGCTATGCAATGACCCCCATGCAAGTCCTACCAGACCGGAACAACATACCTCATCACCGTCGAGCTCCACGACGGGGTTCTTGACCTTGATCTTGGTGAATTCGGTAGCCATGGTGCGGGATTGAGTCAAATTGATGGAAGAAAGACCGGACCAGCGGGGAGAAGCAGTAGTAGAGACACGGGGAGAGACAGATGCAATCGATCTGAGAGAGCGGGCAGAGGCAAGAGAGGAAGAGGAAGAAGAAGTAGGAGAAGAAAAGGAAGAGGTAGAAGAAAGTAAGCGACGAGGGGCCGACAAAGGAGGGGCAGCGACGGCGGCGGCGATGGGACGGCGCGCCAAAGCGGAAGTGAACCGGATAGACGACATCGCAGTTAATTGTTCCGAATATCTGGGGAGGAAAGGGGGGGGGATGAGGGAGGAACCGGGGAAACTGCCCACACGGATTAGCAATTCGGTAACGGTAGAAGGGACAATTGGAGGAAACTAGGGTAAAGGAATTCGCGAGAGTACCCGAGGGATAAGGATAGATGAGGAAGAGTAGGGAGGAATAGAGCTCGGATGGAAGGAGGGCGGTGGTGGTAGTGGGGGAAGTTCGGAAGCTGCCGTTAAGCCGGAGCTTCTTCTGCAACTTGCGACTTGCAACTTGCTGGGCAGTAAACTTGCTCTGCACTTACCAAGGCCACTGATTCACTGATTCACTGATTTCCACTGATTATCTACTACGGAGCAGAACGGAGGTTGAACCCGGCAAATGGTTTGGAGGTGATTCCCAAGAAATGGAAGAAGGAAGAACAGGATGGTCAGGAGGGGATTTAAGAAAAGAGTCAGATGGCACAGGCAAACCAACAGCTCTTATCCCAGCAGGAAAAACCCTTTTGCCCTTCCCCGGCATCTGGTGACTGTGACTGTTCAGTCATTCATTTCTCCATTATTTCCCTTTCCGCCCACCGTTGATGACCCTCCCCGGGCCATCGCCGAAGCCGGACTCTGGGCAAGCTTCCCCGGAGAGGAGAGAGAGAGAGCCCAGAGAGGGTGTGAGTCGTCGCATCATATGCGCTTCATGGGTCTCGGCAATACTACCATGATTTTCCACCTCTCCCCAACCTAATCTGATTCTTGCTTTTTATTGCTTGACAGATAGGAGGAGGAATGTGTCCTCCCCCTTGCTGTGTGAGAATCAACAATGTACTATTGAGATCCCGTTGCATCCTCCATTGAACTACTAAATCACTACCTATTGTACTGTACGGTTGTCCTCTCCCGCTCAGCCGATCTTAACCGCTTGCTTTTTTCCCGCGGCTACTCCTCTAACAAGTCCCCCGTCCCCTCCCTACAACGGAGAAATCTCCGCCCGGGTCTTTAACCACCGAAATCGCTGCTTAGCCGGACTTGGCCTGCCACTCCCCGGCTCAGAGCTGATTCATCCATCCTTCACCCGCCTCCGGATTCGGTACATTCACACGTGCTCGGCTAGATGCTACCCGGACAAGATCATCTTCAGAGCCGCAGTAGAACCGACACCTCTCCACTTGGTCCGATTTTACATAGTATCATGATATAATGATCTCGTACTCTGAATAATTTATATCCACATCCACATCCATTCTATTATGTTGAAGAGGGCGTAGTATGTTCTCTAGCCTTCTAGCTGAGGGACGCCGGCCCTGATGAACGAGCCACGCTTTTGTAATGTTGAAATAATAGATCCCTCCAATGCTCCTGCGCCCGTCGTAGTTGTAAATTTATCGTCCAAAATCATGAATACCAAGAAGATGACAGAAAAAGAAATCTATACAGAGATCGCAATTCCGATCCTGAAATGGGCCTCAGCCCATACCAGCGTCCCGTCTAGAAGAGACCGTCAATCTCCCCAGTCTCGGGATCGATATCCACATTCAAGTAACCAGGGGCTGTGGGCAGACCCGGAATGGTCTGAATGTCTGCTGCAAGGGCATACCTAAAAATCACTCAGTGGGAGGCCCACATGACAGCGCAGCTAAACAGAGGAGAACTTACAGATATCCACCGCCAACCGCCAATCGAACGTCACGAATGGGGACGGTGAAGCCAGTCGGGGCACCCTTAAGAGCCGGGTCGTGACTGAGCGAGTACTGCGTCTTCGCAATACAAATCGGGAGGTTGCCGAAACCTTGGGCAGTGTATGTGTCGACCTTTTTCTGGGCCAACTCACTGAACTCGACCTTCTCCGCGCCATACATAGCCTTACCAATCCGCTCGATCCGCTCCTGGATGGTGCCGTCCAAGTTATACAGGAGCTTGAAGTCCTTGGGCTTAGAGCTAGACGCGAGGACGCTCTTGGCTAGATCCACCGCACCGGCTCCGCCCTCGGCCCAGTGGTTGGCGGGGACCGCGTCCTCCGCTCCTGCCGCAATGGCCTCTTCGCGAATGACAGCAATCTCGGCCTCCGTGTCGGTCTCGAAACGGTTGATCGCCACCACCACGGGCACACCGTACTGACGAGCGTTCTCAATGTGCTTCTTCAAGTTGATGCAACCCTTGCGCAAGATGTCGACGTTCTCAGTGCGGTACACTTCAGGCAGAGCAGCGCCAGGAGTGATCTCAGGGCCGCCACCGTGAACCTTCAAGGCACGGACGGTAGCCACAATGACCACGGTGTCGGGAGACAGACCGGAGGACCGGCACTTGATGTTGAAGAAGCGCTCACCGCCCATCGTGAAATCGAAGCCAGCCTCAGTGACGACGAAGCCAGTGCGAGCATCATGGTCCTCATCCGGCTCGGTACCCGCAAGCTTCAAGGCCAATTTGTCGGCGATGACAGAGCTGGCACCAATGCTGATGTTGGCAAAGGGGCCGGCGTGAACCAGAACAGGAGTTCCCTCCAAGCTCTGCATCAGGTTGGGCTTAATGGCGTCCTTCATAAGAGCTGCGAGAGCACCACCCGCACCAATGTCGTCGCAAGTGACGGGGTCGCCGTTTCGCGAAGTGGCAACAACCATACGTCCCAGTCTCTCACGCATGTCTTCGAGACTGTTGCTCAGCGCAAGAATTGCCATACACTCACTGGCGACCGAGATATCGAAACCAGTTTCGCGCGTGAGACCGCGCTCAGTGGGAGCCTGCCCAATGGTGATTCCGCGCAGGTGACGGTCGTTGACATCCAGAACACGGCGCCAAGTGATAGTCTCCGGGTCGATATCAAGGCGAGCGAAGCGGCGGATCTCTTCCTCAGTGAGTTCGTCCGGGTTAGTCTTGGTGATACCCAACTTCTTAAGTCTCCGGTACATAATAGGCTGGAACTCGCGCTTGCCCTTCTTGGCAGGAACCAGGCGTTTGTAGAGAGCGCCATCCTTCTGGGTGGCCTCATGAAACATGCGGGTTTCGATAGCGGCAGCAAGAAGGTTGTTAGCGGCAGTGATGGCGTGGATATCGCCAGTCAAGTGCAGGTTGAACTCATCCATCGGGATAACCTGACTGTAACCTCCGCCAGCAGCTCCACCCTTGATACCGAATGTAGGACCCTGGCTGGGCTGGCGCACATTGGCGAAAACAATGCGGTTCAAGTGGGCACCAAGAGCCTGGGACAGACCCAGGGTGGTGGTCGACTTACCCTCACCAAGAGGAGTGGGAGTGATACCGCAGACCAAAATGTACCGACCATCGCGACGGTGAGATAGCCGGTCCAAAACGGAGAGACTGACCTTGGCCTTGGTGTGACCGTAGGGTTCGAGCTCATGGGGTGCAATGCCAATCTCCTCGGCAAGCTGAGTGATCTGTTTAGGATACTGCGCACGAGAAATGGCGATATCGGAGGGCACAGGACTGGCCAATTTAATGGGAAGGGGAGTAATATGTCTATCCTTCTGCTTCTCGAAGTAGGCCTTGGCCCCAGTCACCACGTTCTCCAGCAGCATGGCCACAGTCATGGGCCCAACACCACCGGGGACGGGGGTGATCTGAGAGGCAACCTGGACAGCAGACTCATAATCGACATCTCCAACAAGTCGCTGGCCGGACTTGCGAGTAGCATCGGCTTTGTAGTTGATGCCAACGTCAATAACAACGGCGCCGGGCTTGAGCCACTCTCCCTTGACAAATTCGGTCTGTCCAATGGCGGCAACAACAATATCGGCAGTCTTCACAATTCTAGCAATATCGGGGGTCTTCGAGTGGCACAGGGTAACGGTTGCATCAGCATTCTTCAGCAAGTAGCTGACGGGGCTCCCGACGATATCGCTGCGACCAAGGACAACAGCTTCCTTACCAGCAGGGTCGATGCCGCTCTCCTGCAGAAGCTTCATGACAGCCTTGGGCGTGCAGGGAAGGAAGAGAGGCCGGCCACCTCGCTTAGCCAATTCTCCAATGTTGATAGCACCGAATCCGTCGACATCCTTCTCGTCCGCGACAGCGGAGGTAATAGTGTGCTCGGACAAGTGCTTGGGGAGGGGCAGCTGGACCAAAATACCGTGTACCGAGGGGTCATTGTTGGCTTTGGTGATCTCTTGCAGAACTTCAGGCTGTGTAACAGATTCCGGGAAATTGATGATCTTGCACAGGATGTTTGTCTGATACGAGGTGTTCCGTTAGCATAAGGATAAGTTAAGTCGTAGGAGCAGGGTGGCATATACCTCCTCGGCAGCCTTCAGTTTCATGCGCACATAAGTGCCTGAGGCTATGCGTTAGCGTCCGCGACTCTCCACCACTAATCCAATTTAATAAAAGAAAAAAACCTACTGGAATCCGATCGGTTGCCCACTGTAAGATTTCAAGCCAAGTCAGTACTCAAGCAGTCACGGTGCGGAGAGATTGTGAGGGGCTATGACGCACCCTGGAAGATAACCAGACTAGGCTTGAATCTGGGGTTAGATTCCTGGATCTGGCGGATCTCAGTCTTGAGTCCCTCGCGAATGTTCTTGGCAATCTGGGTGCCATCGATCTTGGTAGCTGCCATGGCTGCTGGTCGGGTGCTCGAGAAGGTATGTCGGGAAGAGGAGGAGGAGGAGGGGGTGGAGACGAGCTTCGGGAAACCTAGCACGGCGCGATGAGCAGACGAGGAGGCACAGCGAAGATAAGACCTAGCCCCGCGTCTAGAGAAAAGCAGTCGTGGGTAGAGGGAAGGTAAGGGGTGGTAGTGAAGCTGAATCGGAAAAAGAGTATAAAAGCGCTCAGCGTTGACAACAGCAGCAGCAGCAGCAGCAGCACAGCGGGGTAAACTCGCCGAAGCCGAACGGGCGGGGGGAAACGGCATTGGATGACTGGGCTGGGTCGAGTCACAGCTCTTAGCCACAGCAGCTTTCCTCGGCCAGCTCAGATGCAGATAGGGAAAAGGTTGAAAACCACCGATAAACTCCTTGAATAATCGAATCAGGCAGCCCAAGACTCCGTAGAATGCCTAAAAAATGAAAGACTGTGAAGAAGCAGATTCTAAACTGCCAGTCAAGCAAAGCAACTATTATTCTAAGGAAGTTCTTTTTCCAACATAATTCACCCTCGAGTTTGCTGTTTCGACACTGTTTGCTCTGTTCTTTCTGCCTTTGTTTTCCATGGAAAAGTCTCCCCGATGAATGCCGCAGGAGCCTCAGGCTGACGCTGGGGTGACAATGAGGTTTCTTCCTTAGGCTTAGTGCACGTAGTCTAGACCAGGAGGGGTATGGGCTGTCTTGCATCACGTGAATAAAAAACTAAGCCAAATTCGCAGACAGCTCTCAGGGCTGTGCATATCACGTGAGATAAAATAGTCAGCAATACCGGACCTACTAATCTCCCGGTATGGTCACCCTGTGACAAAACAGGCTCAATCAGGAAAGTCTTGGCGCGCGAGCCCGGACTGTGCGATGAAATTCAAACTAGTCCTGACGACGCCGACGAAGTGAGCCCGCCAGCACCCCGCAAGGATTTCCGCCTCATCACGCAGGTATTATACGACTCCCGGTCACAGACGCCCTCAGCTGTGATCCATCGCTCTTTTAATTCCGTCGCCTTTCCCCAGATTCATCGCGTGGTCGGCCCAAGATGAGGCCTATTTTGCTTGCGGGCCATGTGCGTTTTGCCATCCTCCTCCCTCCCAGCTCGGAAGACTCTTATCTGTCGCCTGCAAAAAACACTTGAAGATCAACAGGATGGGGAAACATGGTAGTCGCTGACATTTTTCATTCTTGCAGGAACGTGCCCTGACTCAAATCAAGTTCAACAGCGATGGCGATCTTCTTTTCTCCGTGTCGAAGGATAAAATTGTGTGCGCCTGGTGGTCGGCCAACGGCGAGAGACTCGGTACCTACAACGGACACCAGGGTGCTATCTGGACGGTCGATGTGAGCCCCAACACGGTTCTCCTGGCGACGGGCTCGGCAGACAACACCGTGCGACTATGGAACGTCAAGACCGGCGAGTGCGTGAAGGTGTGGGATTTCCCTACGGCCGTGAAGCGGGTCGAGTTCAGCCCCGACGGAAGCAGACTTTTGGCCGTGACGGAGAAGCGTATGGGTTTCTTGGGTACCATTGCCGTCCTCGATATCAACTACGGCGAGAACTTGGAGGACCAGGCCGATGAGCCCAGCTTGCGGATCACCTGCACGGAGAGCAAGGCCACCGTTGCGGGCTGGAGTTATCTGGGCAAGTACATCATTGCTGGCCACGAAGACGGCAGTGTCAGCCAGTACGACGAGAAGGTGCGCAGACCGAATATTTTCACTGGCGAGGAATCGGGGCAGATGAGTTGCTAACACGGCATGTGGGAAAACAGACCGGTGAGCAGCTGGAGAACGTCCAGGCCCACGAGTTCGACCACCAGATCAACGACATCCAATTCTCTCAAGACCGCACCCACTTCATCACCGCCTCCAAGGACAAGTCTGCCAAGGTAAGTGTCCTTTTGTCCTATTTAAATTTCTCCATGACACGTGCAAGCTTGTTAACACGCGGTTGCCAGCTCATCTCCTCCCGTAACCTCGCCATCCTCAAGACCTACCCCGCCGATACTCCCTTGAACAGCGCCACGATCACGCCCAAGAAGGATTACGTTATTCTGGGTGGTGGTCAGGCCGCCATGGATGTCACCACCACCTCCGCCCGCCAGGGTAAATTCGAGGCTCGCTTCTACCACAAGGTCTTCGAGGACGAGATCGGCCGTGTCAGAGGTCACTTCGGTCCCCTCAACACCGTCGACGTCCACCCCGCCGGTACTGCCTACGCTTCCGGCGGAGAGGACGGTTACGTCCGTGTGCACCACTTCGACAAGCCTTACTTTGACTTCATGTACGAGGTCGAGCGGGAGCAGCTGCGGAAGTAGAGCGAAGGAGGGGCGATTTTGACGTTCGGAATGCATCTTTTTTAAAACCAGTTACGCATCCTTTGTATGTGTCATGAGGCGAAGTTTCATCTTTTCTTTCACTATACTCCCCCAAAAGTAGAAAGGCAAGACCGGTACGGCGGGTATGAGAAAAAGAAGACCTCGAGGCGATATTCAGGGCATGAGTTATATTTCATTTGTTCCATGATACAGTCGGAGTTGGTACCATTTCCTATTTCTGGTCGCTATGGTGTGTCCTAATAAAAGAAACCTTATTTTGCTTTACTTTACTGTTTTGCACACACCCTATGACTCCAACTTCTCTCCTGCTCATAATCTTGTCATGCTCATGAACATATCATTTGAATTCCGAGGTCAATTTGCTAGGCAACATTTTCTATCGCGCCCGACTAAATGCATAAAACCAGGAAGTTTCAATATCCACCAAGCAGAATCACGAATTTTGTATGATTCGGGGAGAGAAAAGTCTTTATCTTTGTTCTGAATGACAAAAAAAACGGACTCCGTCTTGAATACCGGGCCAGCGCTCTTCTGACCAGCAGATAAACAAAGGAGAAAAAATTGGGTAAAAAAAAAAGGAATCATGAGATCTCATATTGAGAAAAAAAGGTGCGTTAGACGTGACATCCGGATAAAAGAAAAAGTGCGAAATTGATGGAGGAAAACCCGAGACGATTCGAAGGGAAGAAAAGCCGAATTAGGAGAGAAGATGAAATTAAATCAAAGAAACTTCATGCAAACTTCCCCGGAAGAAAAAGTCGCGGGCTCACCCCCGAGTCAATTTACTTTTTCTTGGGGAACTTCTCTGCTCCGATGTCCGAGCCTCGCAGCTTGACGTTGAGGACACGCTCCATGGCACTCAGGACCTTCTGGTCGGGCGCAGCGGTACCGCGCTCGAAGTCTTGGATGACGGTGACGGTGGTGTTGCACTTGGTGGCGAGTTCCTTCTGGGTCATCTTGTAGCCCTCGTCGGTACGGCGCTTCTTGATGGCATCGGCGACCTGGTGGCCGACGGTCTTGGGCTTGACAATGTCGTCGCTGCGGTCGACCTTGGTCAAGTGCTGGCCCTCGGGGGCACCGGAGCGTCCGGCCTGAATTCATTCGCCCAAGTTAGAACAGGTTGCCCCTCCTTTCGGAAGTTTTTGGATTTTGGGTGGCGGTTGGCTGCCCATGAAGCGAGAGAGGGAGGAAATGACTTACAGCGTTACCAGTGGCGTACTTCTTCTCGGTTCCGATGACGAGACCCTGGCGCTGAGCGGCGTTCAGAGCACTCTTGCCCTTGACGACGGTCTCGCGGATGGCAGGGCCACCACGGTTCTTGCTTCCAATGCGCGTGACGGAGTCCCAGTCGCTCATTTTGAATATTTGTGTAGAGACGGTGGTGAGGATGGGGTGGTTAAGAAGATGGTGTTAGCGTAGTTTTTGGCGTAGAGGAGCAGGTGGCGGTAGAGAAAGATCGCGTGAGATGTGTCGTAAGGAGGGATGTTGGAGACCCGCCGAATTTATATCGCCGCCACGGAAGCTTCTCGAGCCCTTGGGATGGCGGAGTCAGAGGGGCGCTGGGCGCTAACCTCAATTGGGCTTAATCGCTGCTGACATCATGTGCCATTAAGGCTATTAACTCCGTCGTACAGTCAGTCAGTCAGTCCATCGAGGCAGTGTGCATACTCGAACTATACCCAGGTTGCGACTGTGAGTCAGTATGAGTCTTTCTCGCTTATTTGTTGTGTCTTTCCGATCTGTCTTTGTTTAAACAATTGCATGGCAGTGTATTACGATCCGATCAATACACAAGTTACGATTGAATTGTCAGCAATGAATGCTTTGAGTTTCCATGAAGGACAACTGCATGTCAATTCCGACACGTTGGCTCGCAGAATGAGTTCTGGCTTGTCGGGTCTGCTGTCTAATTCTGTGGCTTTTTCCTATATGTCTCTGTTGATTATTGTGGCTCGGTTGACGATACACATATCGTTTCGAAGCATCACATCTTTATATATCGGATATAGATACTTCCCACAATAAGGTCTACTTTCAATTGCTTTCACTACAACCATGTAAAAGGGAGACGCTTCTGTAAAAAGAAGCAAAGGACTTCGTATGATGTCATAAACGTGTTTCGAAGCCTTCTGAGTCCAGTATCTCTCGAGATAGCTCGAGCTGCCCTCACTCAGTCAATTACGAATTTCCCGTGGCTGTTGAGGATGAGGTGCAAATGTTGTGCGCAACCTTCACAGCGTAGTACAGTATAGGGAGAGAAGAGTTAGCAAGAATCTAAGAACCAATGTACAGATGACGCACTGTAGGTTTGAGCAAGTCAATAAGGAAAATTGCGAGGACTCGCTCTCTGCTTAACTCTGCTAAGACAGTGATAGATGGTTCTTCCTTTTATAGCCTCAGATAGCCAAGATGCTTCTTTGCTGAATCATACCCATGCTATTTTGAGCATAGTCTAGATCACTTGAATCATGGTACGTAGCTTATGCATAACGAACTAGTGCCTTGATGTGCAATAAGGAGCGATTGAGAGCTTGATACACATGTGGAGCAAAGAGTGTAGTATTTCGACAGATCAAACAGGATGAAGACCCAAGAATAGCACATCTGAGGTGTGGCCAAGAGAAAAAGCGAGACACTGCTTTTCCCAAGTAACAGGTTGAGGAGCATGTCGGCCTGAACCTTGGCAGATGTTGGCTTTGGTTGTTTCATTCGAAGAGCACCAACAAGTTCATTGAGCCCCAATTCCCGAGTGGGATTGCCGAGCACTACCTAAAGTTTGCCCCTTTCCAGCAGCATCAAGCGTCCAACCTCGAGCACCAGGCAGGGCTTGTAACCTTGAACATTGAAAATATAGACGGATAATAATGGTGCCTGGAATGACAAGACAAGCTAAATGTCGCGGGGCCAATCAGACAACCACAAGGGCTGAGCCAACCCCCTCTCCAGGCTCTGAACGAGTGGGTGCCACTGGGTGGAAGCGGCCTCAGGTACCAAATCTGAGTAAGAGAAGAGGAGGGACCAACTGGAGACTGCGGCCAATGCATCCGTTATTCAGTCACTCCATTATCGATCGTCTCGTCTGTTATTATTATTTGCCTCTCATCTTCCTCATCCATCTTTCTGTCTGTTCACTCTTTTTCTTCCAGCGCTTCTACTGCCTTTCGAGTCGAGTCACATTCTTGATTGCTTCGCCCTGGTTTAGTTTCGTTGAATCACTCGAATCCGCTTCACATAGCTTGCCATGGCATCCCAAGGCGATCTGTTCTCGGCCGTGACCAACCGGTCGCTCCGCAACGTCCGATCGGTTAGTTTGAATCCCCTCACCTGTTTGAACACCCTGCAGTCAAATTATAACTGGCGTGTGGTACTGGAATTCCTGACTCAAGAACTGTCTGTAGGAGCTCGAATTCCTAGCCGATTCCTCAGTCATCACTCGTGCACAACTCTCCTCGATCTTATCGCAACTCCCGAAAGAGAACGAGCGCAGTAGATCCTCGGTGCCCCCTCAGCAACCGCCAGTCCAGCAGCCGCAGCCAGTGGCGCCGCTGCCCATCCAGACACAGCCGTCTCCTGCTCCCTATTCTCCTCCCGTCAACCAATTCGCCAATGCCTCGTTGAACGAGAAGGCGACATACCAAGCGCAGCCTCCGCCGCAGCCGTACGCCAACCCGGCTGTCCCGCCGCCTCCTGCTTATCCCCAGGCCCCGCCCGTGCTGTCTATCGCCTCGGCTCTGTATGCGTACACCCCGACGGACCCCGGCGACTTGGCTCTGCAGCCGCGTGACCGTATTCATGTTTTGGAGCACATGAACGCTGATTGTAAGGATTCTATACATATCCGACAATGGCGACGAAATTCCTTTATGGCTGCTAACAAAAAATATAGGGTGGCGTGGTCGTAACGAGCGCACCAACCTCGAGGGTATCTTCCCCCGCAGCTATGTCGACGTGATTGACGAGAAGGCTGTCTCGTCCCCTCCACCCACCAACTATGGAAACATGCCTCTGGAAGTGAGCCAAAGTGGCTCTACGCCTGATGGGGACCCTGCCAAGAAGGGCAAATTCGAGGAACACGGTAAGAAGTTTGGCAAGAAACTGGGTAATGCCGGTAAGTTTTGTCTAGGGAAAACATTTTGTTGCCTTCCCATCAATTTGCACTCTTCGAATTTTTGAATGCTGATGATGCACTCTAGCTGTCTTCGGTGCTGGTGCGACCATTGGTTCAAACATTGTGAACAGCATCTTTTAATGTTTGTTTGTCGAAGTTGGTAACTCTAGGAAAGGGCCCGATAGAGTTTTGTGGATCACCCTTGTGTGCTCTTTGTCGTTTAATCCAGTACTTTCATGGAATTGGCGTTGGTGGTTGTTTTTCTAATCCTTACCATTATACTCTCTGTGACTATCTTGATTCGCAATCGCTCTAGTGAGACCCATTCGGAATAGCAACTGACAGGTTCTGGAATTCTGGATATACTCAGTACATCATCAAACAGAAAGTTACACAATTGGACACCGTAGCTGAAGGCCTGAGTAGGATATCCGATATTCCATGGATAGATCATCTTGTCATCTTCTGTTAGCGCCAAGCAGCCTCAAAGCTCAAAGCTCTCAGGTGAGGACTTACGTATTGCATGCGCCCGGAATGACTATTCCAAGTACAGGATCGGATTACAATAGAAGAAGGGGGCAGATACTCGTCGACGCACCGAGAGACATCGAGTTGAACTCGGATAGAAAATAGTCTCTCGCCACGCAAATCATGGCCTATGGGCTGTTGGGAACAGCCGCCAGCTTGTTAGGCTACATTAGTTCGCGCTTCAGCCTCTCCCAACGGGGGCTATGGGCATAGCGCCTACAGGGCTGGGACAGCCACATGTGGTTCCTATATCTGGAACATGAGAAGCAAATTCCCAGCCAGAAGTTATCTTGAAAGCGTACAGTGTTCATAAAGGTGCTGTGGGCGATTGAGTCGCATTTCCCCCAGCCATGTTATGGCAAATGATCATATTCGCATTGCTCGCCATCCCACCCAGCGTTCTAGCCACAGGATGGGATGATTTCACGGACGACCTAGCAACAGACCTGGTACGTATGAGAGACGCCCACCACCACGGCAACCATATAGTCAACTAACCGGTCTCTATCCAGGCGCCATTGATCTCCCTTTTCGGCGATCGGTTGAGCAAACAATACCTCTCCGAGTCGATCAGCATCCTGGACAGCTTCATCTTCGCGGTCTCTCCCCTGGGCATCCTCACGGCCGTGATCGCCGTCATCCGTGTCTGCGGGAACGCCTCCTTGAAAGCGTTTGTGGGCCGGGCGCAGGAAGGCCCCGGCGAGGCAGAAAACGAACTCCTGTCCTGCGTCTCGGAGAGCACAGCCGAGATCTTCAACGATGGAGGCGTGTCCAGGGTTCTTGGACGGCCGCGAGTCCTCGAGGTTGTGGTGTGGGAGGACGTAGACCCGCAGACCCAGCAGCGCGTGCGCAGGATCGGGACCCTGCATGACGCGCTCCAGACCGGTGCCTGGGTGGCCGGGAAAGGCCGGCAGATTCTCGATGAGAAGGAATACCTGGCCAAGCTTGACATCGCGAATCTGTCCTTGAACAAAGGGATCGCAAGAAGAAGCCAGGGTTGGTTTTACGCTGCGGCCGCTCTGGGGTTTGTGTTGCAAGTCGGTAAGCATGGCGGTCTCGATTCGTTCAGTCGCATTGAAGAAGGGAAATGGTGTTTCTTCTAACGAGCTGTTCCAGGCGTGCTTGTCTACTCTGCTATAACCGTCTTCCTGTTCCCGGATCAATTCGAAAAAGATGGAAATCGAGTCGTCAGCTATGCTTTCCCACTGTTCTTCATGGGATCTATGCTACTCAGTATCGGGATGTTCTTTTGTGCTTTCATCATCGAACGCTCCTCCACGAAGTGCTATATTCGACCTACGACGCCGAGCAAGATCTACTGGTTGCAACCGGGAGACCAAGATGTGGGAGACCAGGTGTTTGGCGCGTTCCTGGCTGTCAACGAAGGGCCTGCGGCGGAGGCCACCACAGACATCATGTATATCAAATCGGTCCGAAGCTCTCAGAATCCCGGGAAGGAACCATTGCTGGTGTTCACGGTGGTTACGACTGTCGTTGGCTTCGTGACGCAGTTTGTTGGCTTCCGTGGACTACATGCCTCCGTCATCCTCGCACAGGTGGGATCGACGTTCTTGATGTCGATCGTGAGGGCCTCTCTCCGGACGAAAAGGACCGGGCCAGAAGAGAACCGGTTTTCGAACCCTGAGAGACAATTAGTCTCGCACAAGAAACAAGAGCTGGATTTCTTCACGTTTCACCTCGAGAACATACAAGCATTCGAGTTGGTGGCTAATCCAACAGCTGCGCCTCAGTCATCTGGTACACAAGCCCTAGCACGGATCAATGGCCCGGGTATCAGAGCTATCCAGACACGAACGCGACTAGCTCAACTCACATCTGAAGGCAGTCATGAGAGCATGGATTGGGATGATCTCCCCATCAGAAAAGTAGCTCGCAGCCTGGCAAAGACGATCACGGAGACAATGAATTTTTTGTCGGACTGGAAGCATATCAACGAGGACACGCATAGCTTTGACCTCCTGATCCAGTCTCAAGCACCTGGTAGAAATTCTTACTCGAGCTACGAAACATACTCTGTCAAGCTCAAAAGATCGGAGGACACCCTACAGTGGCAGGTTGATGTGGCAGTCCTTGAAGCGGTGCTGGGCCTATGGACTTGGTCGCTCATCAAAACTGATAGCAAATGGCTTCGAACCAGGCTCGTCCGTGCTGTAGGACTGACCGAGTCGGAAGCTTCGAAAGAGGAAACGGACCTAATGTTCCATAAATGGATCCACCGCCATACAGAAGCACATATGGTGCCTTCGAAGACAATCGCCTTTCACAATCGGCTATTTGGAGTTTCTCCCGATAAAGAAACTACCAGCAAGGATATACTGGTGGTGCAAACTGACAATAGAATGGAGACTATGGCCGCTCAGGATATTTATATACGGTTCCTCCAAAATGCCCTGCGAGATGTCACGGAGCTCGGAGGTAGAGTAGAGGTGCGCGAAGGGTCACAGAACAAGTTTGTGACATTCAGCGACCGCGTTGATCTTCTCGTGACGTGCTTCGCGGAGGCCGGCCTGGGATCGAGGGAGGACGCCTTGTTGTGCGCTATTCCAACTCTCAAGCTCTTGCTGCCAAAGCTTGCTGCAGACTCAGACAGCGTTAGAACCAACATTAAGCGATTGATATCTGACGCAGATTGGAAAGGAGCCTTTTCCGTTGCGCGCTGGCTGTGCGAGCGTTGCGAAGGAGAGGAGCTCGAGCGTTGTGTTTTCGAGCTCGGCTATCTCTGTCAACGTGCCATGAGCCACAGTGACATTGTAGTTCGAGAGGCCGGATTTGATGAAGTGCGATCGCTCCTCCAATTTGACGCGAGGGCTAAGTTCTATGAGGGTCTCAGCCGGCGCTTGAATTGGATGAACTCCACCGACCATCAAGCATGGTGGTCACGATTCTCCCAGCAATTTGGCTGGATCGTGTGGCACATACTCAAAAACAAGGCCTCGAATCACTCGATGATCCCATATCTAGAGGCCTTGGGCGCATCCAAAGATCTTGATCTCCAGCCAATTTCCCAGAGCAACACGTTGCACACCGCGCAAAACAATGTCTCGGGGGGCTCAGCATCAGGATCCTCAGGTTTCAGTCAAGATCTCACTCAGTCGCAGAATATCGAAAGAGATGAACAGGTTCTTGCTAAGGAAACCATACTAGGATGGCTCACACACGGTATGGACATCATCTTCGAGAGACAAGTGCCTGGCGAGGAAGACCGACTATGCCTGCAATGGGCGTACCAAAATTCACAGAATGCTCTCGCTCATTGGATTCTTATCAAATGGACTGAGGTCGGGCAAGAATATGGCGCCTTGATGCAGAAGGCGTTTGTGTTTGCGGCAGAGTGCAATGCGGACTCTGCTATCAAATCGCTGATACGGCAGGGCGCTGATATCAACACTCGCGAGTTTGAAGGCTACTCACCACTAATAGAAGCTGTTGGATCTGCAAGCATGGAAGGGACCCGGGCACTACTTCTTAATGGTGCAGATGCAAATTTAAGCTCCAAGTCGAACAAAATGACACCATTGTCAATGGCTGTTATTCGAGGTGATTGTCAGTTGACTCAACTACTTCTCGACTTTGGCGCGAATCCTGATGCTAAAGATGACCTGGGTTTCAGCGCATTGCACACAGCTGTGCGCCACAACCAGTTGAATATTACACAACTGCTTTTGGACAAAGGCAAAGGAGATATTGAAACTGTTTGCGCAGACGGCAGGACTCCTCTAATCTACGCAGCAGCAGACAATTATGAAGGAATGGTCGAGTTGCTGCTGGCCCATGGTGCTAATGTTAATGCACAAGATGATTCTGGCTCTACACCTCTGATGACAGCAATCTGGTACAATGCAAGCGAGAGAGTTGTTCGCCTGCTACTTGGCAAGAAGCCCAATATACACCAAAAGGATGACAACGGGATGACCGTGTTCGATCATGCCCGGGACAAAGGCTGTCCAGCGTTATTGTCGTTACTAGAAACAGAGACCAGGGAAGACCAGAACAGGGGAAAATAGCTGTAGAGCGGAAGGGGCGATAACTGGACAACTGGTGTGGCTATATCTAGTGGCTTTCCTCCCAGATGGATGTGCATCCGAGCGGGGGTCCGGTCCGGTACACTTGGGAACTCCTCAGCCATGCCTCCCTTCAATCTGAGCCATTAATACGAATCCTTTTATTTTCTGGGCCTCATCAATTGAGTGGGCATGGACTCCTCCCGAAGCGCCCAAGCATCGGCCAATAGCATGCGACAGGTCTCCGTGCCACCCCCAGTTCAACCATCCAGGCTGTCAGATACGTTCTCTAAGCGCCGACAGAAGACCACCATGCAGTAGTGTCGCTTGGTCTGGCCTCGGGGGCCTCGTCTCAATATACCTCCCCATCAATCTCTTGTCTGAAGCCGAGTCACTTAAAGGATGGCTTTACCTCTCGTTCTTTGATCGACCTTTCGCACAGCGACTTTTCCTATTTCCCCTAATGCCCTGATGATATTTTAGTTGTTTCTCTGGCAGAGCAACTCATTGACGTATTCATTGTCGCAACCAAAGGCCTAATATTGTGATATTCATCTATATACCCCGCTCACCATTGAGTCTTGCGCAGCCTGTATTCTGTGGAGATAGATCTGTCCTGGTAAGTTGAGCGCGACTTCTCCTTCACCTTGTGATTTGACCATTCTATCAATAACTCCTGCTGAGAATTACTTCGTAGGTATTCCACAATCGGATAAAAGGCGAGAACCATGTCTGAGCAATTCGCATATCCACCCCCGCCTAGCCAAGGCTCCTTTGCTTGTACGTCTGTCTTACAGCATCTCAGACTTTCCTACACTATACCAACTGATCAACGTCAAATAGATCCATCCAATGCACCGAGTATGCTACCCAACTCATTGGCTGAGCATTCCCTAACTCATTCATAGCAGCCTACTCCCCACCCCAGGCTTCCCCAGGCTACCCACCTCCTAATTTCAGCTTCCCTTCGCCGCCCCAGCAGCCGACACCTGGGCATGGCGACAATAAACCTCCCACGCCACCTATGAATGAGAAAGCCGCCTATGCTGCCGAGAATACTGGAGCATATGGGCCCAATGCGGCCATTCGCAGCTCCTCCGATAGACCGCCTTCCGGGACAACACTCACAAGAGCCCATACGGACATGTCACTTGGTAGCAAGCCAGGTCCATTGGCATCTGCTAACTTCATGGGTGCCTCGTCCACTGACATGGACGATGTGGGAACCTTCAATGGTGGCAGCTACCGGATCAGCCATCGGGACACCAACAGTCTCCTAACCATTCAGCTAGCGGTGGGATGTCCATTGCAGGCCAGGCCAGGTCTGTCAACCTGATCCCCTGCCTCGATGCTTCAAAAACGGAAAGCTAACAGACCAACCTATCGTTCAGGTGTCATGATCGCAATGTCTCCCTCGATTTCTCTCCGGGGCTCCCTCTCCTTCGGCTGGATGAAAGCCCTGGCAGGCGGCCAGATTGCACGATCGACATATACCGGGCCCGGGGAGCTACTGCTCGCGCCATCCGTCCTAGGCGATATAACCGCGCTACGGATCGACGGCCAACAAGAGTGGACCGTGGGACGGGATGCGTTCCTCGCTGCGACGAGTGGTGTCAAAACCGAGTACAAAACTCAGGGCATCATGAAGGGTGTGTTCTCCGGCGAGGGGTTTTTCGTCTACAGGATATTCGGCGCCGGGATTCTGTGGATGCAAAGCTTCGGCGCCATTGTGAAGAAAGAGGTATGTCACTTTATTAACTTCTGGCTTCCCCTCTGCTCCCTACCCCATCCTCTCTCCCTCTCTCTCCTCCTTTGTCTCTCCCTTCTTGCCAGCCAATACCTCTAACTCGAGATGCTCTTTTCTCAGCTCGCCGAGGACGAAATCTACTTCGTGAACAACGGCCATCTAGTAGCATGGAACTGCAAATACAAGATCGAGCGGGTCGCCTCCGGCGGCATCATCTCGAACTGGAGTGCCGGAGAGGGCTTGGCTTGTCGATTCACCGGCCCTGGATCTGTGTACATGCAGACCCGCAACGTGTCTTCGTTCCTCGCACATATCAGTGGAGGTAAATCCAGCAGCTGAAGCAAGCATACATTGCACGTTGGACCTATGGTCACTCGATTAGCTAGCGTTTTATGTTTTCGATTCCCCTGTTTCGTGTCTCTTTTATCGATCCTTGTTATATACCTTTTCTTTCGCTTTTGATCCTTTTATTGTACCTGGCACCTGACTGACACAAATGATGCATGGCCAGAATGGTTTGGTCTACTCTGGCGGCGTGTGATACTATTTGTGAGTTTTGTTTGGAGAGGCACTTGATTGAGCAGTTCGGAGTATAGTCTTGATTACGCAGAACTGGCGGGGTGTCTAGACTGCAGTATGTAGGTCATGCCATTTTTATCCACCTATCATGCCGCTAAAAGAAATCATCCTCCTTTCTCATCGTTCCCCTTACTTTTCTCTACACTCCCTCAAGCCCCTCAAACCACCGCCTATCACCGAACCAGCAACAGACATAAGAAAGACTAACGGTCATTCCACATAACCTCCCATCATCCACATACCGACATGATCCTCACCACAACGAGGATACATAATCCAAAAAGTTAAAAAAGGAAGAAGGAAGCTCTTTGTATACGAGAGGAAGATAGAGAATTTGTTGAGGGGGAAGTGTTGGGAATATGAAATCATAACCGTGTCCATCACGAAGTAAAGAGAGGCAGGTAAGAAAAGTAAAAGCTGGGAAAAAAAGAAAAAGAAAGGGAAAGGGACCATGCCACACGCAAAAACCCATATATTCCATAGAAGAAACGCACAAAACCCCTCTTTCTTCCTCTCCAATTCTCCGCCCCTTTTCTTTTTGTCCCCTCCGCACCTCTTTGGGGTGGGGGAATAACAAATTAAATTCCCTGCTTTTAAATCGTTTAACCCTGTCTCTTTCTGCGGCCGACCTGTCCACGGAAACCGGTCTTGATGGCGGCGACGGAACGACGAGAACCGCAAGAGTTACAGGTGACGAAGTATAGACGGTTCTCACCCTTGTTGAGCTCGGTGTCGGGACTGCGGCAGGTCTTGCAGGTGACGTATTCGACTATACAGGAGTTAGTGGCAGTTCGTAAGGGTAAAGAATACGGAGTGGGATTAAAGAGGGTATAAGAAGGGAAGATGGGGATGAACACATACCGATATATCTTCTCAGGACGTTCTCGATCTGCTTCTGTTGGAAACGACCCTTGATGACCAGACGACGGGAACCGTCGACACTACCGCTGGTACCCAATTCGGCGAACAGGAACTGCATGACGTGGTCGTCGGACCGCTTCATGCGCTTGCAGATATCGGCGATGTTGGCGAAAATGGTACGACGGTTACCTTCACGGAGACACTGGGGCGGGGGGATCTTGTAGGACTTGGTGCCGCTGGACAGCAGGTCGGGGTGGTGGCTCTGGATGAGGGAGAAGAATCGGGAGACGAGGAGCGCATAGGGGATGGCTTGCGTGGCGTCGTGGGCCCAGATGCCCGTACCGGCCTCGTGGTCGCCTTCAGGGACTTCCTCCTCCTTCTCCTCGCCGGCGCCGGCAGCGGCGGTGACACCGGCCTCAGCCAGCTTGGCCTCGAAGTCGTCGGTGTCGACCTTCTTGGACTTGGACTTCTTCTTCTTCTTCAGGGCGGAGACGTCGAACTCGCCGTCGCCGGCGGGGGAGGCCTCATCGCCTTCGCCGGCTTCCGTGTCCTTGGGCTTCTTGGTCTTCTTCTTCTTCGACAGGCCCTTGAAGAGCTCGGTAACTTCGTCGACGGACTTGTCTATATCCCGGGGGAAGAGAGGGTGTTAGCTTGAGGCGGTCGCGTAGATTTTTTGGGGGTTGGACAGGACAATCACCCCGGCCATGGAGGGGGGAGGTATCAAGACATACCCTCAGCAGCCTCAACGGGCTTCTCAACCTGAGGGGTCTCTGTGACTTCGCCGTTGGTATCCATGATGACGTCTCCTTCACTGAATGCGACGGACTTGCGTTGCTTGGGTTCGACCTGTTAATCGGGGAACCGGACAGCCCAACAGGTTAGCGGGGCACCGAAATTATGTGAAAGTGAAGGATGAAAAAGCCCTGACAGCAAAACTCTCAGGGATAGCACTGCTCGTTGACTACCAGCACCACGTGATCGACAGGAGCTGGGGAAGAAAGAGGGTTGTTTGACGCAGGCAAAGACGAAGGTGGTTTGGAGAGCAGCAGCAGCGGGTATGAAATGAATGAAGAAAATGTGGGAGGGCAATCGGTAAAGGGAAAACGGGCTTTGTGACGTACAGTGTCCGCCATATTGGCTCGGCGCTTATGATATTCAAAGGGTTTCTCAGTCTAACGCGACGCAGAACAGAACAGTCCGAGAATAAAAGTTCGAGGGACAGAGAGAATACTTTTCGCAAAGATTGATGAGGTCGATCTTCTTCAGATCTGCCGTTGAGTTGTTGCTGGTTTGGGTTGCGAGAGGGCGATTCTCGTTATCGCGGGTCTCCTCACGTGACTGTCCACTCAGTGACTCAGGACCGTATTTACATTACCGTACTGTCGGTCGCCTCCTCAGGCCACCAACAATGCCGAGCTGGCTGCCTTTCTGCCTGACTGTTCCTGCCTTGCTGCCTCGTCGCCTCTCTGCCTCAGTCCCCTGGAATGATTACATCAGACCATCCCCAACCCGATTCGTCACTGAACAAGAACTACCGTCGCCGAGCTCCAAGCCTTATCCGCTGCTATCCTTCGGATACCTTGCTGTACCTTCACATTCGACCAAAGTTGGCTCATGCTGAATTCCTTGCTCAGGCGGTAGGCAGGCCACTGCTTGATTGCGAAGATTCCCGATTGACACCATTCCATCCCTCTCTTCACCACTGCCATCACCTCCGACGATACCAATAAACACCCAACACCCACTTCATCCCCGCATCTTTCCTCGAGACTACGCAACCTGCTACCTAGTACTCTATACTTTGGGAATAACCACACCGACCCTCCCACCGTCAAAATGTCTGCCTCGCCCTCCGCCTCCAACCCTTCCCTCACCACCTCCGCCTACATGGTCTCCTCCCGCGACCGATCCTACTCCTCCGCCTCCGACGACGACATCGCCTCTCTCCCCTCCGAAAGTACCTCCGTCTCCGACCTCGATACCCTCTCAGATTACTCCGACGCGGAGGAGGAATGGCGCGAAAGTCTGGAGCAGTTAGAGATGCTTCTGACCATGGTGTTCGTTCCGTTCGTGGGGAAGTATCTGGGCCGGAAATGCGCTTATTGGAGTATGCTGCCTTGAATCCCACCCCCTCCTTTGAATTTGATTATGCCTCCGGGATGAGGTGCTGATACTTTATGCAGGTTGGACGAGATTCATGGAGTGGAAGTACCCCGTTGAGGTGGTCGTAAGCAACAAGGCTGCCTTCAAGGGAGCCGGGGCTGTGGGGGCTCTCTCCCCTCTATAAGCGATAGTGGAAACAAAAGGGGAGGGGTTTATATATGGGAAGGGATTCTCGCGCTGTCTATATCCGAGGGTCTATACCGTTGCAGCATCCTATTCTTGTAGTGAAAGGAGTTTCGCGATGGTATCAGGCGAACCTTTTCCCTTTTCTCGGAGCAGCCCCTCAGATGCTTTTTGAGGGGCTTGGTCACTTGGATATATCTTGCGCCTCCAAAAAATGTCCAGTGAATAGGAGATTTTCCTCTGGAGATAACAGGTCTGATCTCTGGTGTTGAGTTCATAGCATAGCATATTTGTTTGTTTATTTAGAAAGGTATACCCCAAATATCAGCCTTACTTAGGGCTTATCCAAGTCTTTAGCATGCACCTAGAAATCTGGCCCGGCGTACTACAGGGCAGAAGGGACGTCTTCCCAGTGGCATAAGAAACGGATTGAGAGCATACACGCGAGACACTCCAAAAGAGGGTTAGGGTGACGAGTCCACCCTCCTAGAAACGACACGCTCCACATTCTCCCTCGCCATTCGCTTCCTTTTCTCCTTCCCCTCCAAGCTCCCCAGCTGGATGCCCGCCTGGGCCAGTGCAGGCTGGGCATAGAAGCACGGATCGCTGTATCCCGGCGTGAGGAAGCGCTCCAGCGGTGTTTCATGGCGGATGTTGGTCTGATCCAGGGCGACTTTACTCTCAAAGAGCTTCAGTGAAGCAGGCACCTGGTTGTCCGAGCTAGCAGCGAGTCGGGCACTCGGCTGTTGCTTGGTGGAAGAAGAGTAGTCGACTTGGAGGAGCTGCTCCATACCTGATTCGATATCATGGTTGGCAACAGCCGGGGGCTCGCAAAGAGAGACGCCGAGCTGGGAGTAGTAAGCGTGGATGCGTTCTTCTGCGATGAGAGAGTCGATCCATGATGGCACGGTAGACTCTGTGTGAGCGTGCTGAGGTGGGATGTTAGTGGCACGGTAGGTATAAGACGACAAGTTTCGTGTAATGAGAGTAGGAAGACGAGGGAGAGGTAGAGGAATGGGGCAAGCAGACCATTTCACTGAGTTCCTCATGAATTGCAAGATTGCGCTCGATCAATGGCGCTGGAAGTGAAGTCAAGCCTGGACGTTGAGTAGTCGCAGCTGCCGTTCGAGCTGAAGGAGGATCTTGCTTGTTGGCCATTCTTTTCGCATTTGGTTTGATCTTCTGTGCTTTCCCACCCATCGCTTGCTGTACCTCTTTATACAACCCCCAGACACAATGGACAGATACATTAGCTTCTCTTTGCCTACCTCCATGTTCCCCAGCTGATCTAATTGCGCTGAGCCAAGCTCTCACTAAAGTCCCATACGAGACCATTGACGAGCTTCGAACCACCCTCCGGCCGGGGATCTGTACACAGCATAGTGCAGCAAGCCAATGCAACAAGTCGACATGATGGAACAATCAACTGATAGCCAGAGTTGATCTGTACCTTTTCAGGTCAGAAAGAAGTAAGGTTATTGTATCATACGACTCCTTCCTTTGTGGGTTTAACTCCTCCACGTAGCGAATTCCTCTTGAGCTGCGCAGCGCAACCGAAGTCAGCTAAGAACCTGACAAAGACTGCCAAATGCAAGGTAAGTACGTGGTATTTCTGACACTTCGCCACTAGTGACTGACCCAACAAAGGGGATAAACCGGGTGACTCTGGCGTGAATGAGGTCAGCTAGCTTAAAGCCACAATGTCCTGCGACAACGCCTCTCTACAACGGACAATAGTACCTTAGTATGTACACACGCGCGCACATACGCTTGATCAAGAAACTTCACTTTCCTCCGCGGAGATGATATCCTCAGAACCAAAGATAAGCGGCAACGCACACCCCAAAGCGGATGACCCCTCAGCTGCTTTTCGTGTTGGCTGAACTAGAAAGTGATAGCAGACCATCAAATCTGCACATATGTCTTGGCGTACACACAGTGAATGCCTCCTGGACTTACGGTAAGAACTAGACAGTTCTGACCGGCCTATCAGAGTCTCAGGTCATATGCTTCCTGAAGTTGAAACACTGCATGGATAAATGCAAGCCAGGAAGGCTCCATCCGAGTCCTTTCCTGGTTCTCGGGTCCGGATCGGCGGCGAATTTACTTTTCCTGCGTTATTGCCGCTGACAATTCAGTTGGGGGCTGGCTGCATCCTCTCACAGATCTGACTTGCGAATCTGGCGGTGGCTTAGATCGTTCGTCGATGACTCCAAAGCCTAAGGTTTGGCTCACTAATAATCTATATGGGTAATACAGGTAGGATGACTTCGATCAATTATCTGACACTATCAAGGGCATTGCTGGAGAAAGACAACCCGTAAGATTTTGCCTGAGTGATTGGCCCTATTCCTGCAAATATCCTGGAAGCCAAACAGCCAAGAACGAAAAAGCAACGAACAAGCAACAAGGTACACGCACAACATCAGCTCTAAGCTCAGTTCACTGCCCAACGATTCCTCGGGTCTCAATACTGCACATGCAGCCAGACCACCCCCAGAGAAGCGTTGCAGCACCATTCAATCCGCACCGGAAATCAAGTGCGACAAACCAAAAACATCCCGACAAGTCGGTTCCTGCAGCCCTTTACTCATTCTCCGTACCCTTCCTTGCAAGCGTGTTTGACCCGACTACCTGGTTAGGTCTGCTGCAGTCCGGTCCACGGTCTGGGCCCCCAGACGCATAGTACTTCTGTCGTGACGGCTCTATCGTCCAGTCAACTCAGCAAATGGGCCCCATCACATCCACTCCCAGGTTGTTGCCTGTTGCCTGAACGACTTAGTCTCTCTGCCTGATTTTCCTATATCGCATACCCTTCCTCCCATGCATTTACGTAGACACCTATCAAGATCCTGCTACGTTGCCCCTTCTCCTGCAAGCTGGCGTAATCAGTCAGGGGTCTGGTTCGCTCCATCATTCTCCTCAGATGGCAGCCTGGTTTAGCTGTGGAGGGGTAGTAGGATAGCCCTGTTGTATTGAGGTTCCCCTGCAAGGCTGGTGACTCAATGGAAGTGTCAGGGTCGCAATTCATAGCAGGGTACTGAGCCTTTTGATTACAAACGTCACTTTTACCGCAGTAAGGAAAGGGAAGAAAAAGCAATATACTCTCTCATGGCCATTACAGTACCGATCACTGTTGAGCTTTACCCTGTGGAGGGCGTCGAGGCTCCAGGAGAACAGACAGCGCGGCTTGCTTATCATCTAGACTAATGAAGAGGGTGGGAGCATTCTAGAGCTTCTGGGAGCATACTGGGAGGTTTCTTAAAACAGTTCTGTTTGTTGATGTATCAAGCTTAAATGCCAAGCCCCATCAAACAAGGTATGTTAACTTAGACGGGCACGACACCTTGTGACCCCTGACCGTGCTCTCGGGACCTGACAGGGAGCTCTCCAGGCTACGGCCAAGATACACCCCAACCTAGTGAGCCAGCTCGGGGCTACCTACTCGAGAACAAGGGTCATGGTAGGCTGGACAGTCTGGTCAATCAATTACACTGTCTGTCATAGGCTGGCTTCATTTCGAGCCCCTCTGATGTACCTTCCCCCCTTTTTCTTACTCATATTTCATTTTCTTTGTCATGCTGATCTTCAATTGATCTTGAATATCCCCAGAAATTAGGAATACATGATAGTCTCATCTCCTCAAATAATCGTGGCAAGCATCCTCACTTCCAAATACAACCGAGTTTGGCTCCAATAAATGCAAAATCATCCCAACATCAAAATACCAATACAAGATATTGGGGGAGTAAGAGTTGACAAAATATAGCACACCGTCAATACAACATCCTTCGCTGCCAAAACCCTCTCAGATTATCGCTGACATCAATTTGTAGCCTTGTGGGCTCGCAATGCGAGCCAGAGCCTTGTCGCAGTCTGCATTCCAAGCAGCCTTCTGCATGGGTGGTAAACTCAGCGCGCGTTTGCATTTGTTCATTCTCAGTGAACAGACCGCCGTCATAGATTGTCGTAATGTACCTTGAGAGAGGCACATCTCTCACCGCACCGCTTGCCGGGGCTTTCCACGACCTGTCCCCCGAATGGCTTGACAAGTAGTAGCATGTCCGATCGTCATTTGCGTAGCCATGCGTGTCTTCATGTGTATCCCTGGCTGAAGGCTTTCTTTCCAGAGCACTCTCCGGCCTCCGTGTTGGAATCCCAGGCTCGAAACTTGAAGCGGAAATCTCTCTGAAACTTTCCTGAAGAGGTTCGAAGAAGTTCGATTCGGAAGCCAAAATGGCGTCACACGCAGCTTCGAGGGCAGCATAGTCCACCTTGCTGGGACTCAATGGGAAGCAGTCATCGATGATCTCATTATGCCCGCTTGAAGTGACAAACGTCGAGTTCGATTGGGCATCGCAAGAAACCTGACGGCACACTTCATCCTTGCCCTCAGAAGATGGCACATCTGGCATATTGGGCCTTTCATTCTGTAAAACTTCACAGGGTAATATATGCTGAGATGACTTTGTCGGAGTGATCCAGTCTCTGGTGACTTTCCGCAAGGATTCCTCCTGTCGGTGTGCGTATTCTGGAGGCGTTTTAGAATTTGCCGATAATATCGTAGCTCGAGACTTGATGCCTGGATCTCTGTGCTCCCGCTGAATTGCATGTCCTCTTCCAGTTCTTTGAATCTTCTTGGGCGGCATAGGCGCAGTGGTTGCGGTTCGCATGGGCGATGACGAGGACATGCGTTTGAGAAAGTCTCTGTTAAGAGATATTCTGCTGCGTTGCGAGGCTTGAGTATCATTCTTCCCCGAGTCCCAGAGGGTCTCTCTCTCCCTGAGTAAGCGGTGTAAATCCTCCAGAGTCCATAGCCTTTTTCCCGGAGTGGCTTTCGTGGGAGAGCGGAAATTAACCCACAGAAGATTTCTAGTGTGGCTTTCCAGGTCGGGGTCTGACGACAGGTCCAAGGCAGTACGTGGCGATCTCATAGCATTTCTTAGCACGTTTCCATTTTTCCCATCTGTGCCGTGTTGTGACCGGTGATCTTCATGACGAATTGATTTCTGCATCTCGCATCTGGTTGTATCTGCTGTGTCACGATCTGGGAGCGGTCCGAAATACGTCTCAGATACATCATTCCGAGGGATCAGGCTTTGAGATTTTCCTGCCAGGAAGTCTTCCTCTGAAAAGCCAAGTATGGGGACTAGAGCGCAGTCAAAATCTATATGTAAGAGATATTCGAGCGTGTCTGAGGCAAGCGTACCTCTAGATTTGATAGGGGAAGAGGTCTTTCCCTTCTTGAAGATTCCCAAGTCTTGGCGATGATTGATCTTGTATCTCATCAGCATCGTCATATTATGAAGGGAATATACTAAGTAGCTCAGAGGACATGACTTACCGTCAATCGATCTTGGGCCACATTGGGCGCATGGAACTTGTGGGCGATTGCTCGCCTGAGATGCTTTGAAAGACGTTCGAGCTTCTTCTGGACCTTGGTCTCTTTATAGTCATATCGGTCGTCCTTGGTTTTGTGCCTCATACGGCGCTCGTAACTATCAAGCTTCTCATCCTGCAGTGCAGTAGGCTTTGCATCGGCGAGATGGGAGGGTGAGCATCCTCCGACCTCTGGCAAGGTAGCGTCAGCATTGCTCTGGGCGAGAGCTTTGGGCTGCGCTGTTTGGGCTGTAGTAGTGTGACATTTTCCATCAATATCGTGATGGGGAGACTCACTTGCACGAATCGAAGTCTGGTCTGCAAGAAGTTTCCTGTAGAATCTCGGCGGGTCTTCGTCATCTCTCAAGATCCAGTCTTCGACTCTGGCATATTTCTCTTGAGGAAGACGTTGCGAAGCTAAGGAAGGCATGGGTAATGATTGAAGTTGTTGATGCAGTTGGAGATTAGAATTTGCCGGGAGATAGGGAGAGGACAAGAGGGACTGGAAGGTGAATAGTATGTTGCTATAGAATCAAGGAAGTTAGGGATTGAACAAGTCTAGGACATGGATTAGAAGAGCATAAAAGGACGAGGTCGACTCACAAGCAGTTGACTTTATGCTTGCTTCAGGATGATGTCGCTTACCCCGGAAGTTTGTGCCTTCCTAGAT